GTTTTACAGCCCATCTGTGAAGTATTTTTACTGTGTAATCTAAACCTCCCCTTAGACAACCTGAGGGCATTTACTCTCATCCATCCACTTCCTACCTGGAAGAAGAGACTGAAATACAACTTGCTACAACCTCCTTTCAGATAGTTTAAGAGGGCCATAAGGTCCCCGCACAGCCTCCTCTTCTGCAGCCTAAGCAACCCCAGCCCCCTCAGCCACTCGTCATAATACTTATGCTCATTTATATATAGGCTCTTTATTCTTACCAGTCTATTCCAAACCTTTTAGCATTTGACAAAAACAGCAACACACTAACTTGTTCAGAAAAAGAAGTACAGAGAAGAACATTTCCTGTTGGAAACCTACAGAGCTGTGTTCAGAAAGTCAACAACCACAAAGAACCACTACCCTCTTTCTAGAGCAAAGACTGTGAAGGATGGTACCTCCTCTGGGAAGTTCGTCTGGGGTCTTCAATTGACCCATAGAGAAATCTTTGCACCCTTCAGAGGCAGATAGTCTATCCACCCACAAAATCCTCTAACGTAAGAAATGAAAAGTTGCTTGCCGAAGCCACAAATTAAAAGAGTTTGTTTTAGCATTAGGAATTCCTTGCCCTGCTCCACAGTGTTCCGCTGACGCCAATGTCATAAGCAGATGACCTTTAAGAATTTGCCATATCCGCGTTTGCTCTCACCAGACACAAATATCTAGCACCTCAAAACATGAATGATGTCAACAATAAAATTGTACTTACTGTAATCTCAGCCTTGCTCAGACAGATAGAGCCTCTGCAGCCATACTCTGTTTCATCTTCAGACTTGTAATAACTGAGTGTGTTGCTTTTCAGAACGACCCATCGATCCTGCCACCCATGAATGTAGTTGGTCCACTGTAAAAAAAATTTTCAAGAGATCAGCCAACAGAAAGACAACAATAAAAGAATGATGGATATCTTCTAGGCTTTTGAGCACCTGAAGAAAAAGGTAACTTATTTTTACAAGTTCTTTCTAAATGAGAACTTTTTTCTCCTCAGAGATCCTAGAATAATTTTACAAACTCCCAAAGCAACCAAAAAGCAGTGGTTTTGAAGGGTCAATAAGACAACAGATACCTGGACTCCAACTGAACTGCCAAGGCCAGTCACAATCAAGGCAATAAACATACTGACACAAATTGAGGAAAAAAGGGGAGGGGGACAAAAAAATCAAACATTAATGACTAAGGTGAGTTTAGGCACCTGATTTAAAAGCTGGAGCTGGGCCAAAAGACTTAAGTGGAACACTGCATAATTTATTTTATATAAAATACTATATGAAGTTATCCTCATAAAAATACAAACATGCCATTATCCCACAGCACAGTAAATAACTATTGTAGTGCCTGGGGGACTCAGTGTTTTATTAATTTAATATTGCCTATACATACTGCTTTGGTTATCTGCAGACAGCCAATCAGGTATTTGCTATTCAGATTTTTCTAGGGACTCCACATTCACATATTGAATAAAACCAATATTCTGGGAACAAATTCTGGATTAATTCTAGAGATATCTAGTAAGAAGTGACCAGAAGTTCTGATTATTATTCTTACATTTGCAACATTTTTTCTGACTGCACTTTGTAGAATCATATGAACTTCATAGCATCATCTGGCACTGATAGAAAATCAGGACTATCCCGTAATTCTGACAATGCACTGATCCTTATTAATCAATCATGGTGCAAATGTCATACGTTTGATAAAAATAGAAACAAAAGCACTGGAACCAATCTTATCATGCAAGCATTTCTTTGATTTTGACAAATGTTTTTTGATTAAAAACTCTGGTTAACATTTAAGTCTATTCATCATTCATTATTTTGTAATCAAAAAAATGAGGGGGAAGAGTCAACTCTCATTCTCGTTCCACATCATACTACATACACTAGTTAACACATACTCCATAATTACATGTTAACTTTTGTAATAAGATGATGAGGTCTAAAGAAAAAAATTATAGCTAAGAAATTCTTAACAATTTTCAAATGTAGGCAAGACCTTGATTTGCTGTTAAAATAAAAAGCCCTTTTTCATCTCTTACACCTAATTGTTAAATACAGCATTACTTAAAGAAAGCCTCAAGTGTGCTTAGTACATGAAGTGGTAGCACAAGCATTCAGAGGTGTATTATTTCCTGCCTTCCTCTTTTCCTATCTCTCATGTTCCCAACTCCTCCCAGGATATGCAAGGCAGAGTCCAAAGTTATTTTGGGGTGAAAAAAAAGCAAAGACAACGAGCTTTCCTTCTCCGAAAAAGTTAACAGAAACATGTATAGCAGTGAATCTTGCATCTGCTGTTGCAATCAAAGCTTGTTGTTGCAATCCAAATGTGCCATCCTTAAAGTATACTTGGGCAGGCATGAGGTTTTGGCAGAGAAAAGATCAGTGTTTTTCCAAGCATCCAGATTCTCATGCTTCCTGAAAGCCTCTTCCACTGAAGTTCTTTCCTCCACCTTAAAACCATTAGCAGGAAATACAATGGAAAAAAAGCCTAGAGTTTCAAAACATTTCAAAAGAGCAGCAGGATATACTTCTAAAAAGTTTCTCTTACCAAATTCCTCCATTACCTTCGCAGCTTTTCTCTATACTGAAGTCAAGAACTACTAAAACTACTACTCACACAGTGAACTGCAGCCTACTTCTATGATTTTAGAACTTAATTATACACAGTAAGATATTAAAAATAGGTATTTCCTTATTAGAAAGTTCAGTATGCTACCATTCCATTTTAATTAGTTTACCTTAATAATTACTGAGGTATCAACTAACAAAAGGTAACCTTACCCCTCAAACATATTCACTGAGACAGGTTTCGTCATACTTGACTATTCAGATTAAATTCTGGGTTCTCATGGGAAAGACACTCTCTGCTGCACTCAGCATTATCATCCAGAAAAGTAAAAAGTTTGCACATACCTCAGCTAGAATGTCTGAAGCTATGCCTTCACCTGCTACACCACTGAGAAAGAACACCTGGACTTTGTATTTCACTTGCTAACATAAAAATTAATTACATCCCACAAATTACTTCCCTTCTAAGGACAGAAGCATTTTACCCAATGAAAACTTTGCTGTGAAAAAAACACAAACAAAACAGCAAAAGTACACCAAACGAAAATCTCTTATTGTAACTGCTCTAACACTATCTCACATCCATCTCATCCCCTCCTTCCCCCATCCACTATTAGATAAGATCTTACAGATGAGAGCAGAGATCATTCTCTTCTCCTAACCATTCCTCTTATCTCTGGGGTTAGAAACATTTCCAGCCTGGAAGGAGTTCACAAAGTCCCTCACAACAATGTGAACTCAGTTCTGGCTGTTTTCTACGCATTCAGGGCAGTGTAAGATCTCCGTATCCCGTGCCTCCTACGTTGGTTTGTGCCTAACCTTATTGCGTAGGACAAGAAAAAATACAAAACATAGTACTTTAATCTTACAGATATTTCAATATTATTCTCAATATACTTTCTGTAATAATAAAAAAAAATATCCATATGAAAACTAAGTAATTCAATATTCTACTCTGAAGTACTGCTGAAAATAAAATTTTCCAGTATAAACCGACACATGCTCGGAAGCCACCTTATCTTCAGCGATAAAAGAGAAAATAACTATGGTTATTTCTAAAAGGGGAAATAAGCCGTATAACCATTTTCCTTTTCCTCTCCTCCCGCTATCTCTTGCCGCAGGAGTCTTTCAATGCCCTGTTTGGATACTTGCACTCAAAGCCGTGCCCGCTCCCGAGGACACACGACCGGTTGCGGGCGCCTCCGGGAGCTCCCGAGTAGCCGCGACACCCAGGCCCGGCGCCGCTCCGGCCGGAGCCCGAGGCGCAGGGGAGACGCCCTCCCTGCGCGGCCGCCGGAGCCCCGCACCGTGCGGCCGGCTGGCTCCGCCGGCGGCGGGGACAGCGACTCTGCTCGAAGAAAGGCTTCCCCCGGCCGCAGGGGGCGGCGGGGCTGAGGGAGGGGGCGCCCGGCGCCACCGCGGCTCTGCCTGGCAGCGGCTCCGCCGTCAGGTGGCGGTGCCCCGGCCGTGCCAGCGCCGCCCGCGGAGCCGCCCGCCCCCCCCCGCCACCGGGCCCCTCGGCCCGAGCCCCCGGGGCGGTCGGGCCTGACAGCGAGGCAGATGGGTGGAGGCAGGGCGCAGGAATGAGGTAGAGGCGGCTTACCTTGCTGAGCACCCCGCAGAGCTCAACAGGCAGTCCGAGCTCGGTCTCGGGGTCCTCCTCGGAGCCGGAGGAATTCCAGCTCTGGTTGTCCGACATGGAGACCGGAGCCGCAGCCACCGCCGAGCTGGGAAAGAGCCGGAGCTGCCCCCGCCCACAGCAGCCTTCTTCTGCCGAAGGGACCGGAGTGCCGGGCTCTACTCGAGCGGATGCCGCCGCCGAGCGCCGCTCGCCCCTGCCAGCGACCGGCCGGCAACCAGGCTCACAGCCCCGGGATCCCGCGCCGCGGCCCCTCAGACCCCGCCCGCGGCCAGAGCCACAACACCGGGACAGCGAGGGGAGGAGGGGCGAGCGCGCGTCCGCCTGCCGGGCACCCGCTCAGCGCGCTCCCGCCGCCGCCATCTTAGGTGAGGCGGGCGCTCAATGCCACCATCGACAAGCACCCCGCCCCGCCGCGGCGCCCCGCGGGAGTTGTAGTCCTGCTCCGAGCGGTCGTGAATCTGGGCGCCACTGCCCCTCACTCGTGCCGCAGGACGTGCTGGGAGATGTAGTCTCACTCCGACGGAGCGCGGCTGCCATCTTGGTTTCGTCGTTCCTGTGGCGGCGCCGGCGGGTATCGCCTCAGTGCCACTGGGGGAGGGGCCCGTCCGCTACCAAGGGCGACGGTGCTACCCAGGGCGATGTTTGCTTTGTCTTTTGTGCAGAGATATTCGCTTTATCTTTAGCGAGGCGAAGCGTCTGTCCGACTCTGCTTGCTTTCAAGGGTAAGGAGATGTAGCCTCTCTTCCTCGCCTCAAACCGGCGGGACTCGGAGGACAGTTGAGGGGGTTGAGCGCCAATTTTTTCCCTAATCAAACATGGTGGAGGCGGCGGGGAGGGGCGGGAGCTGGTACCGGCTCTGGGTGAAACGAGAGGGGAAGGCGAGGCGTTCGGAGGCGCGCGGGTTGCGCTCGCCCGGCGGCGCGCGAAGGCGGGCAAGGCAGGGCAGGCGCAGGCGCAGTGGTGCGTCAGCGTTCCGCTTCGGCTGCCGCGAGTGTCCTGCCTGCCGTTTATTAAACCGCTTTCGTAGTTTAGGGAAAGAAACGGTGAGATTTTATTTTTTTGTTCCTCAGACTTAGTCTGAAATACGTGCTTTTGTCGATATTTGGGGTGGAGATATGTTTGTAGGATGGGGGAAAAAACCCACCCTGTACCTGTCACTTCACGGTTTGTGAACGGCGAATATAGTGGTTTGGGAAAGACTTAAGGTTTGTACTAACTCATCTCCTTTCTCTTGATTTCTTGGGCTGGGGAAAAGTGTCTTAAAGAATGTTGGTTGAGGAAATTTCGGGTCAGGAAGATATACTTCTGTTATTATTGCTAGAGCAATGCTGCACAATTCTGTTTTCTCTGACTTTTTCCTTACTATAAATCATTGTGATAAATTTTCCACTGTTAGGCTGTTCTAAAGTTTCCATTGAGGGTTTATTATTTTTTTTTTTGAAAGAGCATTGACACATCTACTTATATGCACTCTCTATATATAGCAGTTAAAAGTTAAATAATATTCATACCTACTATACCTCAGATATAAAGATACTTACCATGAATGCAGAACTGAGGATAATTCAAAAGGCAGCATCATGTTCCTAAATTATTAAAAATAAAAAAAAATAGACATCTTAATACTTGTGTGATCACTGCAGTGTACAGGAAAAAACTTAGAGAAGTCTGCTGTGGGTGCTACTTCAGACAATTTGCCAAAAACCATTCACTATGTGTTTGGAAAGAAACCAAGTGCATAGTTTTTCTCCTTAGTGTCTGTTTCAATGTATTGTATTTGTCAAGCAGGCTTTGTAAGTATCGATATGTATGAGACTAATTTATACTTCTTCTCTGCAATATGTTGTTGAAGTTAGTTGACATTACTTGTAAAGCCAGTTGTGTTTTCCCAGTTAAATTCTGAATTAACTTCTTATCAGGAGCAGGAGCTGAAGAGACATGTCTGAGCAAGTCCTTTTAGCAGTGGCAGTAGCATGTACACAGACATTTCTTGTCATGCTTTTGATCTGAAACTATTCACTTAGTTACAGAGGAAGCTTGCTTTTTCTTTTCCCCCTCCAGAACATTGAGTCAATCAATACTAAGAATGCATTGGGTAGATATTTTTACAGATTGTTCAACAAACATACCCATCCTTTTTAGAGAGAGTATTTGTATTATTTATTAATTGTGGCTAGCATTTTACGAACTTTTAGTGAAAAAATGCATGCTTAAAGGTTTGCATTTTCAGCTTTTCATATAATGTGTTGGCTGTGCTAGGTATTAGATTTTTGTTTATATCTGCCACATGCTCCCAATGGATCTTGTTTTTCAACACAGTGTCACCAGCTTGTGTTCTTCCAAAAGCTGTACTGCAACTGTGAATGCCTTATGTAAATTACCCTTTCTTTCCAATGTTCTGACCATTTTTTAGAAGCATAACGTACTGTCTGTCACTCTTAATGAGATAAGGCCATACCCTTTTCAGCAACCATGGGGTGCAGAGGGACTAGATTTGTAAAGAAAAGGTTTCGTGCTGAGGACTTGAAGTTTTTCTTATGTTTTGAGAGGTGTTTTTTTCAGACTACAGTTGTTTGGTCCCTTGGAGGGCACTACCTTAACAATTGTGGTTTAGCAGGTATGCTCTGGAAGAGCAGTCTTTCAGTTACATATTGTTTGAAGAGAATCAGGTTTGCCTGTGCCAAAACCAATCTGGGATGCAAACCAAAGCCTAGGAAATGTACAAAATCATACTGGTTTCCAGATGCACTTGCTCCTTTTCAGCTCCTTCTATACCTTTTCTACTGAACCTTTTTTTTGTGATTTATTGCTGTGTTTGTTTTTTCATAGCAAGTGTCTCTGTACTCAGTCTGTACCCCTTCTAGAGTCATAGGGATTGCAAGAAGTTTGCAATTTACTTTTTTAAGTGGAAATAGTCATTACCTTTTTAGAACAGCGGATCAGATAGTGTTCTGTACTACTGTTGAGTATACTACTTGTAGTACAAACATTGGGATTGTTGAGTTTTGCTGCTTGGAATGTCAGTCATAATAAGCACTGTCAAGTGGGTAACTTTATAAATACTTTTATTTTTTTCTACTCCCTTTTTATGTATCTTTTTTCCACTCCCATACCTTCTATTTTAGGGTGTTCATTTCATGTTTTTAAAAGTGAATCTCCATCACTTTCTAGTGTGTTCATGCTTCCCTTTATATTTGTTCTGAAATTTAAGACTATTTTTCTTAGGAGGATCCTTAAAGGAGCTTTGTTATGCCACAGCATATTGCTTAATAGCATAGGTTCAGAAATATTAATGATTCAGACACTTTGTTCTAAAACAGTTTTGCTCTCTGAATCACTGTGTTAAGCTTTTATTTCTAAGCAAAAAAAACCCAAAACAACCATATATGAATCCGTTGGCACTAAATTTGTCTGTAGAAGCCCAGTTGGAGATAACTATGCTATCTGTAGTGTAGTTTTTAGTGATGAGTGTTCAGTTCCTTCATTATTTTCTTTATGGATTGAACTACTAAAGCCTTTGTTTTCAGTAATCTAGAAGCATAAGGAAAACTTAGTTAAAGACTTGAGATAAAGCTTTGAGTTGAAAAGGTCCTTTAAAATACTGAATAGAGGCAGAAGAAGATACCATGGTTCTTTACCCTTCAAATAAACTTATATGTTCTAAAGACATGAGTATTTTTTGGTAGAGAAACTGAAAGCAGAATTTAGAACAGAATTGCTTTGCATTTTGCCTACAGAAAATTGATAGGGGTGAGTGTTGCACTTGTTTTACTTGTGTCACATAAGCAAAAAATTAATCAGACAGTTTGGTGAATGGCATAAAATATTTTGACATTTTTGAACATTATCAGAAGCAGTCTCTATTAACTGTTTACTTTACGTGTGAATTATTTAATGTTTTAAAAGATGGATTTGCCTGTAATTTGTTGCATCTTAAAGTTGGTGAGTATACCGAAGACATAATTCTGGGACCTTGTTTTTTCAGGGCTAACTCCAGGTGCTTGTATGGGATCTACATTATTGTAAAATGCTGAGTCATCTGCTACTTTAAAAGTACTCTCATTTCATATGTGTCAGCTTGAGCACTTGGAATCCTCACTTTCATGAATTCTGGCCCAGTTTTCTGTTCAATATTAATTTATCATGTGCTCTGGCTTATTACATTTGTAAAGATATTACATCTTTATTGAAAGATTCTTTTTTCTAAGGAACTTGTTTGTGTTGTAGTTTGAGAGAGAGACAGTAGTGAAACAGTAGTTTTGAACAGACTAGCTAGGAATCTATGTGGTTAACACCATGTATGTTAAATGTATATGTATTAAATGCTGACAACACTGTTGTGCAGTTCCTTCTGCCAGTTCTTTTCTTGTAAATCGCTACAGGATTAAAACTGACAGGAGTCCTCTCAGGGCTATTCAGAAGCCAAGCCTCAAGTAAAAATCAAACACCCTGAGGAGTTGAGCAGATAGTTAGAAGGACAGTATGATATGCTTCCTTGAACATGCCTTTAAATAAAGGAATATCTGAAATATTTAATTGAGAGAAAATAGGAAGTTTTAATTTGGGCCCTTGCTACAGTAAATGATGTATCAGATTTTGATGCAATATTATTGGTGGCTTTTATGAGTTTTACAGAAATTAAGGAAAATATTTAATTTAGATGCTTGTTTTAGACATCCTGAGGATAATAATAGTCTCTAATATTTGTGTTGCTGTTTGCAACATTTATTTCAATTCTTCTTGCATACCATGGAGACTTACTTAGGATAATTAGGGTGTAAAAGACAATCTTTTATATCTGTATGTTATGATTGGCTTCCTTTGTTGAGTTTTTGAGCTCTGGGCTCAGTAGACAATTGTGTCTCTTAGTAACTTCTTTACAGTTCACATTGTCATGAGAATATGTGATAGCAAAGATATCAGAATTTGTTTTAATTATGAGGACAAGTACACAACTTACCTGCATTAAACTATAACTCAGTATGCAAATAAATTATTTTTCAAGCTTTTCCATACTGGTGTTATTTTCCAGTCTTAATAGTTCTTCCCATGTTGTTAACATGGTCAACAAAAGATGAACTGTTAACAAACTTTGCAAATGTTAATAATGTACATAATAGCACTACGCCTACTGAACTGAATATTCTCATATACAAATACTGTATATTTTGCATTATTTTATTACATGGAAACTGTAATATGAAGGCATTTAACTTTTCATACTGTGTGCAGGGTTTAAGTTGCTGGAATTGGAGGATTTTTAATGAAGATAAGCTGGAAGAGTTGCACAGGATCAAATACAAGCCATTTTAAAAAATGCTAAATTTGAATGAAGGTAGAGGCACTTGAAATTAAATTGTTGCTCTAATTTTATTGCTGCTTCAATCTCTTGACACTTTCAAATATTATATAACCCTGTCTTACTACTTTAGTTTAGATTCTGTGCCTGATTCTAGAAGAGCTTGATTACAGGTAATTAGTGATCTTTTCCCACTTGTAGGAATGCCAGCTTACTCATGAAACTTTTACACAGTAATGGTATTTTGTGGTTCTTCTCAATGTTTTTGCTTGTTCGGTGGTTTCCTTTACATTAACTGTTGACATTCATTGCCAAAGTCTTTACCTTTAGAAGTCCTTCCCTAGCAATTGGAAAGTTTTCTCCTTCCACTAACATATGATTTTCCTGCTTCCCCTCATTCCCCAGTCACAGGAATAATAGGGTAGTTTATTAGTGTAGACTACCGTCATAGATTTCTCTGGTTTCATGTCGGAGATGGCATGTTTTGTAGTAGAGGAAACAGCTTTGTCACGCAACAGCTTCTTGAGGTAACAGTATGCCAAAAGCATGTCACTCTGTGTAGACTGTTTCATTAGATTCTAGTCCCTTACCCACTTTTTCCAAATCTTTTTAGCAAAAAAATGGTCACCACAAGTTTAGTGTTTTCTCTAGCCTAATTGAAACAGTTACTATGTTGACATACTGTTCACATTTTGCACACTTTAAAACTCTGCTGCTTGTCTGTTGCATTTAAATATTTTAATTTTCATCTGTGGCAAATGAGCGCTGGTTTTATCTGACAGTTCTATATCAGTTGTCTTATGGTAGCTATTGTGATTAATTTCAATATGTTAAGTATTTTATGGATTTTTTTTCCAGACTTGTTAGTTTGAAACCAAGATAATGTTCAGGCTTTCTTCATACTAAGCAGCTGGAAATCATATCACCTGTTATTCATATTTTCCTTTCTGTACACCTGTAAGCTCTGGTGGGCAACAAATGTCGTGTCCTCAGATACATATTTTCTTCTTAATTTCTGCTAAGGTATTATTTGCTATTTATACCTTTTCTCATCTGAGACTAGCAATATATTTTGTTCCACACAATAAGCTCAAAAGATAAAATACACCAAGTGATCACCATTTATGAGACTTTATAATGAAAATTATTTTTTCCGTCACTGTGATTATCATGGTAATTTTTTTTATTGTTAGATATGTAACAATGAGATAGAGAAGACTTTCTTCTGACTAACATAAATTAGTTTTTAAAGCCTCTGCTACAAACAGAGCCTTTAAGAGTGCTCTGAATGAGGAAGAAGAAAGATTTGTACATGGTAGGGGAAAAGACACTTTCAGGAATAAGGAACAACTGAAAACATTTTAAGAAATGGAAGCAATCTTGTGTTCATTGTTGCTCCGTGAAGGCAATGATGATAAAAGAAGGGAGAATAGTGGAGGGATATTTACTTTGATGAAAGTATTCCTTGGAAATGTTGCTCATTACTTACCAGAGATTGCCAGTAACAATGGAATTACTGGGAGATAATTATACAGGGGTGCTTATAAGCATGAGATGAAATTTGTAATGTTGGTTGGGATGCAGTGCTTTTTGCTTTGATTGAAGTCTAGCAAATCTCTTCTGATAAATGTATATGTTAGCTGTAAGAGATTGTCCTACTGCAGCTGAAAAATTTGTGAAGATGTTCAGCATTGTAGTCTTTTATTTGATAAATACACATAAGAGCTATGAAGCCACTCCCATTCCCAGAAACTCAAGTGCTACCAAAGGATTAAGAGAAGAGTTCTGATCTCTACATCAACTCATGTTCTTTGTAATACAACACACTGTATATAAACACAGCATTATGTAACTGATCTTGCATTTTTCAGCAGACACCATAAATAGTAATGTGAATTAATAGTATATGATTGAAATTCATGTGTTTTTGACAGAATACTTTTTGTAAACATGGGTTTCTTTAATATCTTGCCTTCAGTTGGCTAGTATGTTTCAGTAGAAGAACTTCAGGAAAATATGAACATTGCCATCATTAATTTTTAGAAGTGACTCGTGTGGTTCTTTAGTAACAAAAATTCACCTCTAATGCAAAAACAAATAATGACTTTCTTGTGTTTGATTGTGTTTGGTTGCTAATGAGGCCCACTTAAGTTCTGGTATGGGAAAGGGGCATTTAAAGGAAAAATGACACACTCTTATATTTTTGTATTTTGTGATTAAGGAAACTGGTATATTTGCCTAAAAGGATGGCGTTTCTCCAAATAGTAAGAGTTCTTGTAACAGGGAGCAGGGTAAGGTTGACAGTTGAATGTCCATTCTGCATGACAATAAAATGAGTGGTTTATGAGTCAGGGACTCAAGGTAGGAAGAAATGGTTTCTGTATGCTTTTTCAGTAATGAATACATGTTAAATAATTTATGGCATTATCACACTTGGACTTTTTGGTAGAGCCTCTTGCAATATTACAAGGGGTAATGGTTTTACTGAGGAGAATTGGTATAGATTAGGTATGTTTTTACAGTGAGGGTGGTGAGACACTGGCACAGGTTGCCCAGAGAAGTGGTGGATGCCCCATTGCTGGAAACATCTGATGGCAAGTTGGACAGGGCTCTGAAAAACCTGATGCAGTTGAAGATGTCCCTGTTCATTGCAGAGGGTTTGACCTGATGACTTTTAAAAGGTCCCTTCCAACTCAAACTAACCTGTGAGTCTGCCTATTTGAATCGGCTAAAATAAGACCACTGGTTCATGGTACAGAAGATGAGATTTGCTTTCTTTATTTTTTTGAGATCAAGTTAATAACTAAACAGTTCACCATATAACAAGAGCCTATTGAGAATTCAGCAATTTACTTTCATAAAGAACAAGGGAAGATGTCAGAAGGTCACGTACCAGAAGTATCTGTGTGTATAAGAAATTACAGATGACTTGGTAAGTTCCACCAGCTGGATACCATGACTCAACACATTAAAAAAAAAAGTGCATTAATTTTATCCTGCATTAGGGTTTTATTCAAAACTTTTAATTGAAGCCATCTGATTTTAAAATATGAGTTTTGACACAAACAAAGTTCTGAATTTGAGCTACTAATTACTGGAAAGGATTCTGCAGGTTGACTCAGGCAGGGATGATGAACAAATGAGTGGTGGTTTTCTTCAATTTGAAGATGTTGCAATTTTTTTTTCTTTTAATATAATAGTGAGCAGTATTTTGTGTTTAAGATGGTAATGTTTCATCTGACAGGATAATGTAAGGCAGAAAAGTCATGTTCATATGTAAGGTATAGTGAATGTCCATTCACATAAAGGTACATAGTCTGCTTCATTTAAAGGTACTAGCCTTTACGTGGGGCTACTTTGTGCTCACTTATTTCTGTAGGGGAGGTTTTAAAGGAAAATGGTTTTAATTTAATGAGAAAAGAGTCTTACTCTCTTCAAATGCTGATAGAGTTATTGGTGGTTTGATGTGGTTTATATGGCAGGTCAGCCACTTCGTAGCAATATAAGTCTTCATATTTATGATAAATAAAACTAATGACTAATCTAATTATTGTTGTTGTTCAGTTGAAACATAAATATTTGATTACTTTTTTTTCAGATATTAAGTCATAAAACAGGTACTTGTTTTCAAGAAATACAATGGATGACATGCAAAAAGTTTCTAACAGCTCTTGCAATGATGGATTTCTACTTAGAATGGGCCTTAATGATAACAAAGCTGGAATGGAGGGTTTGGATAAGGAGAAGATCAATAAAATCATCATGGAAGCTACCAAGGTTGGTTTGATTACTTTTTTTCCTGATGCTTTATTTGTGGTTCAGTATTTTAAGGCTCCCTTCCCCAAGTTTTATCCCTCACATGTGTATATGGATAGTATCTTCTTAGAAGAAAGTTATATGTGGGGAGGAAGGAGAGGAGCCATAGTTTAGTATACTTCAGGGTGTTGTTGGATTCATCCACAAGGACATTGGGGAGGACAACCGAGTATAGGCTTAAGTGCTCCCTTTTTGTCCAAAGCAGTACATAAATACTGCAGCATTTTCCAGAGGTAATCATGAAGGTTTCAGCTTCCTCTTTTTTTCCTGCTTTCCATTCCTTTTGTCCACCCCATCATTAATCAGCCAAGCAGATTTACTTCTTTTGGTCACCTTCCTGAAACTGATGAATTTGATGTAATCAAGTCTTTTTATAGTCAAATTTTTACTGCCTGTCTTCGTGACTGTCTTCTTGGTATTCCAGAGAAATGGCCAGTAGCATGCAGCTTTATACTAAAGATCCACAGAGGCCCTCACAACTCTTCAAACCATTGAAATATTTGTCATCCTAGTTGTTACTGGAGAGGTCCAATAGAGCAATATAGGGATGATACTTTATCTGAGAAACTCAGGGTTTTCTAACTTTTCCTTGCACAAGTGTGTATTTTTTTGTTGTCACCATGGCCTGAGATTATGTGCTTTGATGTTTTCCTTATGCATTCTGTGTTGACTAATATTGCTCTGCAGTGATCTGCAGTGGTGGGACAGAGGGAGAAAGGAGGAGAGAGAGAGAAAACATGCTGCAAACAGTTCTTATGTAGCAAGCTTTTTCCTTTTCCTGCTTGCAGTTTCACATTGATGATACTTTATATGCTATCTAGCTCATTATTGATAAGTGTTTCTTCTGTATATTGTGTTCACTCATTCTGGAAAATAGTGCTTTGTCAGACATATCCCAGATAATGATATTTACATAAAATATTTTGTTATGGCAATTACTGGTTTATTTCCTGGTATGAAATAGAGTGAACTATAAAATTGGCTTTCAAAACTGACATATAGACATCTAACTACTAGAATATATTTCTGTCAAAAAAGTGCAAGAGTTTATAATTGCCAGATACACATCAAGAAATCCAAAAAGAAGCATTGATTCTTTTCCTGAAGCTTTTCTATAATCTTTAAAATGACACCACAGACACTACCTGCAGTAAGGTACACTTGCACAAACTGCAAGAAGGTTTATAGCATTTCAACTGTGAAATACTGGAAGAAATGGAAAAAAAATAAGATCTTACTAATAATCTCAAGAATTGTGTTGCTTTCCACACCTACATTTTGGCACTCATTTCTTTCAGTGAGTCTCAGCAAGCCATATTTGATGGCATAGGGGAGAAAAGATAAAGGGCATATCTGACATTCAAAACACACCCTAATTTTTTCTAGTTTGATATTTCTTGTAATGAAACATGACATATTACAGCTCTGCCAACATCTTTTTTATAGTTATTATGAAAGTGGATATTTTTTGCTTTTTATATAAGTGCTTGAATCTGACTTGACTAGGCATAATTCTTGGTATCAGTGACAGTTTGGTGGTCAGACACTTTGACCTAAAGATGTGTTCATTTTTGCAGATTTTACCAAGTAGATCGACAAAAGATTTTTTTCTTGCTTTCACTTGTAAGCTAAGACATGTTGCAAGAAAAATACTTTATTTCCTAGTTTTGAATTTTTCTACTTCATTATATGCCCTCCTTTCTTTGTTCTGAGTCAAGAGGGAGAGTCACATTATACATTCTGTACATTATTATTGTCTTTTTATTGTGTCTCCTTGTATTCATGCCTTTTTTTGAAGGAACATTTACATATGTGAGAGCAACAGGGCTTTTTTTATACTCATTTGGTTTTCATCGTCCTCTTCCAAGTAGCTTCTGATTCTGCAGTGTCCTTCAGGATTAAATGGCCAACAAAATACTCAACATTACAAGTGAATTTGACTTATACAACGTCATTATACATTTCCATATTTATTAAGCTATAATAAATACAGATTAATATTGGAAGTCTGAAAAAATGCTAAAATAAATTTTATTAGAGTTTGGTGCTCCATACCTTGGAGGTGTTGCAAAGAATAATTTGACTTTTATCTACTCTTTCAAAATTTTTATTGTCAAGTGTTAGGCTAAATAAACATACAAAGTTATTTGAAAACTCCTTAAACTCCTTTATGCAGGAGAAATATATGTGTCATTTGAAGAGATGTAAAGGACCAGTGGTCTTTTTAGTGTATTTTTACATGAAAATCCAAAGCATGCATTAGGAATCATCTCTGTGTTCTATGTTTTCTGTATTTAAAGATCAAATGTGGTTGCTTAAAGACAAGATAAGGACAAAAAGAAAAATGTAGTGTTTTTGTGGTTTCTTCTTTCAGGGGTCTAAATTTTATGAAAATGAACTTAAGAAAGATCAACAAGTTAACCAACGAATTGAAAAAATGATGCAGCTGAAAGAGAAAATTACAGCACAACAGCTCTTGAAAGCACAGATGCAGGTATTAATCTTCTAAAGACTTCCTGGGCGAAATGTTGGATCATAAACATTTTGGTGTGTTCTGGTTTATTGCATTAAATTTTGCCAACAGGCGTGATGTTAAAGTACCATTTGATATTAGATATACAAGGAAAACTGCACAATATTTTGATGGTCATCTTAATATAAACTTGTAAGAAGAATAGTTCGTAAAATTACTTTGAAATGCTGTCTAAATGAGTAAAATGAAACAAATCAATTCCTATGTTTCCAAGTCTGACAAGTTTGAAGTTATGTCATTATGATTTATGTAAAGGTTTGTTAAATACTTTGCTAATAAGTGTCATATCACTACTGAGCTTGGAATTTATGTATATTTGTGTTCAGTGGCCTGTGATGGAATGAGAAAGATCAGAGTTGTCAATAATATGCCTTTTTTAAGCTAATTAATAAAAATCATAATGGGAAGCAGTCAAAAGAATTGCAAGTGTCTGGAAGTAGACAGGTGAAGAGGCTGTTTTTCTTTTCAAATGATAGATAGTAGTCTGAAGTATTACAGTGTATGAAACATTTAAAGAAAGGTTGCACACCAAACATTACTAGGCACAACAGTTAAAATTGTTTGTAGGAGCTGAATTCCTTTCCATTTTCATTTGTGCTTTTCTTTAGTCTTAAATGATTGCTTGCTAGTTTTCCTTGACAAGATTCCTGTTTTATTCACTGCACATAGCAGATTGTGTTCACTGAGGGGCAAATTATTCAGTATTTACCGTTGTCTGTAATGTTCGATGGGTGGCTCTAGTTTTATTTGTTGAACTCTAGTCTAATTCAGTTTTGAATACAGAATTACAACATAAAAAACTCTATATTTCCTAATAGAGTTTTTAATGTTATACCCCACATGCTGTGAATTCTTAATTCTTGCAATGTTCCAGCAAAGTAGACTGATTTTTTTTTTTGTTTGTAGATGGAGAGCTGAAACACATGAAGATTAAACACATCCTTTAATTTTCAGTGCCATTGTGAGGATTAGAGGTTGAGCTCTTTTTGGTGTACAACCCTTTTGTTCATTTCAGGTTTACAAACCACTTCAATACTTTAGATGCCAGTGTTTCAAATTTGTTCCAAGAAAAGGTTGCCATTCTGACTACCTCTGAAAAGTTTGTTGTAAGCCTGTGTGTCACAATTGTTTTTAGTGAATCTTTAACATGGATTAGTTATGACTCTGCTTGTCCAGGGTTTTTTCAGTTAGCTAAGGTAGCTTTTAAGTAATATAATTACAGAAAAAATGCTTCTGTTTCCATCCTACCTTCACCAGAGAACTATTTATTTTACAGAGAATAGTCTTTCTTACAGAATGAATTACATTAATAACACAAATTCTATAAATAAGGTTATTATTTAGTTATGTAATGAGAGAATATGTAGTGCACTTTCTGGAAACCCAAAAATTTCTGTTGCTTTGTCTGTCTTCATGTTGTCTTTTTCAGAAATTGATTCCTTGATATTGCAATATAACTTTATAATCTTTTAATGTTTCTTATGAAAACTGATTTCTGTAGAGGAAATAGGAAACTTAAGAAGATAAATTCTCTCCTATGTATTTTAATGGGACTTGGGTTTCAAATTCCATGCTTGAATGTACTTCTTGCTGAAGTAGCAGTCATCTTTATTTCCAATAAATAAGCTGTAAAATCAGCTGTCATACTGCATGAGAAATGTCATTAGAGGAGTACAGTAGGCACACTTTTTTACTGGCTAATTTGAGATCCTTACTGCAATATGTAAAAACATATTGCATTTTTGTTCTATTCTCTGTATGACAATAAACTCTGGTTTATGATTGTTGCTGCTATCTTTCTCCCAGCACAAATTCTGACCGTTTTGCTCTCTCCTCTGCTTTCTTTTAATTTGCCATATCCTGAATTTTTATTTCTTGTCCCACATCCACAGATCACCATCAGTCCTCTTTACAAAACGGTCCTTGTTCTAGAGTCCTCATTGAGATTTGTAGACTTGAGGCCAGTCTTCTCTCTCTGTATTTGATATTCTAAATACCTTGCCCTTTTTCTGTTTCTTACCTGCCAGCTACATCTCCCCAGGCCTCCACCTTTTGCTTTGCAAATCTTTGTCTTGTTTGGTTTTCTTAATAATTGCTGTGTATTGTTTAATCAGCTCCATTCAGTTGTGGATATAGTCAGTTCTTATCATCATCTTCTCTATTGTTCTTATCTTTTGAGTTTTTAACTCTACTTTTTAGTACTGCCTTCTGATAAGAGAACCTGTTCTGCTAAAATTTTGCAAGTGAATTTCATCTGCAAGTGAAGTCTTGTTTGTAGGATGGTCAACGGCTCAGGTATGGTTTCCTAAGCTGGCAGTTGATTTAAGTCCTGTAAGGTAAAACCAAACAAAAAGATCTCCACATACTGGACTTTTGGACAAAATCCTTGTTACATGATGGAAACAGTAATATGAATAAAATGTAGAGTCTGCAACACAATACTGTTGTTTTTGCCATTAGAATGTGTGGAACTCCTTGAGGTTCAGCAGTAATTTATAATAAATTAAAAAGTGTGCAGCTGCTGCCAGATTTGGAAACTGCTGTACTGATCTTTGCTGGTTTTTTTCATCCATGTTGGGTTTATCCCAGATGTTTATTCTGTAAATAATTACCATTGCCTTGCTTTTATTGACTTTTCTGTCTTGCTTTGAAAACTTATATATTCTACTGTGGGATAAGAAAAAAAGGAGAAGTTTCTCTTCAAATTGTCTAAAAGTAGTTATAAGGAAAATTAAACTTCTAATTATAATTTGTACTTTCTGTTTTTTGGTGGTTTGTTTTTTTTTTTTTTTATTTTAGAAATATATATTAAAAAGTATCTCTGCTTTACAAATGTTTATTGAAAGCAGCTTTTAAAAACTTGTCAGCCTGGCTTGCATGTAAGAAATTACTCCACAAATTTTAAGGAGAAGTTTTGTAGTTGCCAAGAATTCCCTGGGCAGATCTGGTTGTGTTTTGTTTTGGCATATTACTTTTATCAGTTTCTTTCGCTGAAGAGTAATCTTTTTGTATTTATTAGTTTAATGTAATTTTGCTTCATTCTTTAGGTGTGTACATTAGCTAATCAGTAAGTATGATGCTAGCAATATATTTAGGGAGAAAAAGCAAACCAGAAGTTAGTTATAAATGTGATAAATTGAAATGCAGAAGTTATGCTACTAGAGCAGCACTTGATAGTATTAATTACACAATTTGAATTTGAGAGCAACCTGAAAATTATCTGTAAAGTAGAATTTAGAATAAGGATGTTTTTGATGAATTGTGGCATGAATCTTTTTGAATTAGTAATATAATGGAAATAATGTAAATACCCCACTTTTGTTTGTTTGGTTTTTGTTTGTTTCTTTTAATGGCTTCCCCTTTGTGTTTTTAATCTGTCTGAACTAGTTTTCTCAGCCTCAGAGAACATACTGTGCTCTTCTGTATTGAGTAGCTTAGTTTAAGGCTCTGGTCTAGCATTTCATCCCTCGTAGCAACTTGGAAAAAAAACAAAGAAAAGACTTTGTAAATCATTAATCAGCAATTTAAATAGAACATTCCAAGCTCACTTGCCTTGGTTCAAGTGTTTTGAGCTCAAAGACGGTTCTTGTGGGTGAGGTTTTTCTGGTTTTTTATTAAGCAGTTCTGTTGAGGGGGGTAAAAAAGAGAAGAACCATGCAAATTTCATGTAAATATTCCTCTCCAGAACTATAAATGCGTTATAGTCAGTCCAGAGACATTTCTGTACTGGTACCGTGATGTCATGAGAGTGTATGTATCCTTGTGCCTGCAAGCAAAGTAAAACTTTGGTTCATTTTTGCTAATTCTGTTTCTTGCTGTGTTGTCTTGTTGTGTAGCCTATTGGGACTTATTACTAGCAGTAGCAGCCTTTTGTGTGTAGATTGATGTTGCCTAGTCATGAGTATGATTAGGTAATCTTATTTTCATAGCACGTTCTTTTGGGTTTTTTCCTCTATTTTCTCTTCTAGAATGATGTGTGTTGCTGCTGCCAACATAGTTACCATAAAAATCCCATGTCAAATATTTCACAATTTTTCATGACAGCACAGCACATACTTCATTCATAGGTCAACAGTATTTCAGGAACAAGCACATGATATGCATGACTTTTGGTAAAAACACATTGCATTTCAAGCACAATCAGAGTACTTTGTAAAGCAATCTGTCTCAAAACACCATGGTGCTGATGAAACAGTACTGCTCACATAGACATACATCTTTAACATTTGGAGTGAAACACACTTCGTGTATAGGCTATTCTGTAAATAATTTGCACTCTTCTTAGCAATCTAGCCTTAAATGGTATGGGTTCCTGTGACAAAAGTTGGGGACTTTTATTGGGGGATTGACAGTAGCTTGCTTTGTAGTAATTGAACATGGATGTTTGAGACGTTATTTCTGGCGAGACAAAATAGATGGATATGTCCTGTGAGCTGCTGATCTTCTCTTCACCATTCTATGCCAATTTTTTGAAGTGTGATAGCTTTATTTAGGAATGTTAGGAATTCTTTAATAGCATGTTTTCATGGTTTTTTAACAACTTGCATTTCTAAAACTAAGTGCTTTAAGTAAAGCTTCGTACTCAAGGGTCTTACAAAGTTTGTTTGAATCAAATACATTTTTTTTTTTGTCATGTTATGAGGAGTTTCGTTGTTTGGTGGGTAGGGTTATCTGCTGGTTTTGGCTGGAATAGAGTTAATTTTCTTCACAGGAGCTGGCATGGGGCAGTGTTTTGGTTTTCTGCTGAAAGCAGTGTTGATAATGAAGAGATGCTTAGCTGTTGCCGAGCAACACTTGCACAGAGCCAAGGCCTTTTCTGCTCCTCTCACCACCCCACCAATGAGGAGGCTGAGGGCGCACAAGGGCTGTGAGGGGACACAGCCAGGACAGCTGACCCCAACTGACCACAGGAATATCCCAGACCACATAGCATCAGGCTCAGCCTACAAAGTGAGGTGTAGATAAATGAAGGACGGACTTTTGCTGCTTTGGCATTTATCTGCCAAGTGACTCCTACGTATGATTAAGCTGTTTTCCTGGAAATGGCTGAACACCTACCTGCCCATGGGAAGCAGTGAATGAATTCTTTTTGATTTGCTTGCATGCAGTTTTTGCTTTCTGTGACAAATTCTCTTTATTTCAACCCATGGGTTTTTTCATTTTTATTCTTCAGACTCTTCCACAATGAGGGACTGAGTGGCTGCAGGAGCTTAGTTGCCAGCTTGGGCTAAACCACAACAGCTGTGGTTTTTTCCATTGGGTTTTGGGGTGGTTTTTTTCAGCAATTGCTGCAGCAGCATTCTCTCTGAGAACAAGTTTCGTCCAAAGCTTTGTTGGGGTTTTTAGTTGGTACTGGTTTGGTGGGGATTGGATTTGTTGAGGTTTTTTTTCTCTAACTATATGCAAGATTCATCTGAGTTTTAGGATCATCTATACTGTTGCACTTCTGCCAGGTTAGTAATATTTAAATTACTGGTTTGTTCTGTTCAGGTGGACAAACTTGTGATAGAACTGGAACAGAACCGTAACCTTAGCAGTACAATTGTACACATTGACATGGATGCCTTCTATGCAGCTGTGGAAATGAGAGACAATCCAGAGCTGAAGGAAAAACCTATAGCAGTGGGATCAATGAGTATGTTGGTAAGGCTGACTGTTAAACTAATACAAAAAACAATTGCATGGACCTTAAGCCTAATAAACAATAAAACAATAGCATAAATATAATGACACTGTTTTATATGAAGTGTGGAAAACCCAAAAATAATAAAGGAAACATCAATTGTTAGACTTGACCATGTAGGCTGGGTTTTTCAGTAAAAAGTGTACTAATTAATCTTTAAAGTATGTAAGCATACTTTAAATGAAAAGGCAGGAGGAGGGGGTGTGAAAATGTGTATAAACTCTTGGCTTTGTCAGTCTTTTCTGTACGGAGATACGTGATTAGAACTTTTATTATTTAATTCTAAACTTAAAGTTTGATTACTGAACACTAAACTTACTTAATCTCTCTTAAGTCCACCTCAAATTACCATGCTAGAAGATTCGGGGTGCGTGCAGCCATGCCAGGATTTATTGCTAAAAGGTTATGTCCACATCTAACTATAGTACCACTAAACTTTGAAAAATACGGCAAAGTGAGTAGAGAGGTAAGTCTGAAAGTAGTCTCTAACCAAAAGTGAGTGCATTGTTTTTAGACTGTGTCAATAACATCAGTTCTAAATAGTATAAAAAGTGATAATTTAAATATTAAATTCTTCAGTAATGTACCTTTAAACATAAGCCTAACAAAATATTGGTGCTCTTGGACAAGGAGATGAAAAAGCATTGCGTTTACCCAATCTGTCAATTCTACTGAAGTTAGTAGTGTTGTTGATAGAAGTTTCGAAAAATCTCTTGATCTTTATTATTCTTAAAAGTTAAAATCATGGAACATAATCTAGTTACTAGGTAGTTGCAAGTACATAGGAGACATGGAGATGTTAATTTCGTGCAATGCGTAATCATACTTTTGAATACTAATTACTGGAGAGAAAAACAGAGCATTAGTGACTTATAAATGCAAATTGATTTTTTTAAAAAATAAGGGACTTCATAGAGCAAAAGAAATATGGAGAAAAGAAATAATGTTTTGCTTTAATGGAAGTAGTTTTACTTAGTGCCAGAGGAAATAGTTATGATAGATAAAATCCTGTTTAAAAAAAAGGATAAGAGGTCTTTTGTACATTTTATTAAATCAAACTAGTGTATGACACGAGTCTCCTGACTTTAAAAAAATTGTGTCAGGCCTTCTTTATTTTTATGAAGCAACAAATGTACAAATATAAAGTAAGATATTAGTTGATTTTTTCACATCTGAAAAAAAAACATAAAAAAGGCATATATAAATATGCCATATTTCAGAATGGGTTTGAACTTAAGGATCTTGGATTTCATGATATGTATTTCACAGTGCATATTTAATTTGTTGTTTGATAGGGTAAAGTATTAAGAATTAGAGATCTGGCTTGGTCTGGATTTTCAGTTATGGTTTTCTCTTGGGATTTGGATTGAAAGTAGTTAAATTTATTTCATTTTGTCTTTTAAAGTTTATAGTGAATCCTATCTTCATTGAGTTTCAGAAAGATGAAGTGCATGTGGACAAATGTAATACCTAAGAACTTGACTCAAACTGATAGGAAAAAACAGAAAAAACCATAACATAGTCAGATTTCCCTTCAGGTTTAAAAAAGAGAGAGGAGAGAAGGTAGAGCTTTCTTTTTGACCTTTTATTTTATTATGTTTCCTTCTAGAAAAATGGACTTACAACTAAGGTTTTCCCAGTGGGTTTTGCCTGTGGCATTAACCACTGCTCTGAAATATTTTCTGTAACTTCAGTTTAATGTAACCTAAAACTTAGGATTTTGTTGTTCCTAGTGGGTTTCTTTAACCTTTGTATATGTGATATCTGACACACTGAGCACAGAAAATGACATCAGTTTATCTCCTTTGCTGAGTTTCCAGGTCAACAGAGTTTTATTCAGATGGTTATTGTAGTGTCAGTGAACCCATGGCTGTGCAGTCCTTATACACTTATCTTACTAACCTTTGCTGTTAAATACACTGCTCAAAATCTGTTTAGCTCTCACTTACTATTAATGCCTCACTACTTGGAGAAGCATTGCTGTAATTTTACAATATCAAGAAGTAATTTGTATTGTTAGTATCGTTATTATTTATTGATCATCTGGAACTTTCAGAGTACGTTGGTTCATGTCCTGATTTTGTGTCAAGATCTGCTCTTGCAGCAACACGGCTTTAAACTTTTACTATGTGTTTATTGAGGTTAGAGAAATACTGGCTGAATATGATCCCAATTTTATGCCTATGGGCCTAGATGAAGCCTACCTGAACATAACAGAACACTTGGAGGAAAGGCTGAACTGGCCTGAAGATAGAAGAAGGTTCTTTTTTAATACAGAAAGCACTACAGGAATAGGTAAGCAAATTACTCACTTTTCATGAGGTCACCTGACACTGAGACAGAGTGTTTCTTTTAGAGATCTTAGGCAGAACCATGAAAGCATTAAATCATAGTTAGAATTTATTTTCCTTAGTAGGGTTACTTTATTACAATAGTACAGAATTTGTCATTCAAATGGCAAAGGACTTCTACAAGCAGAATCAGTGCAGTGCAATCTATAAGTAGCAAAATAAAAAATTTATAGTACAGTATGACCTGTACTGGGTGAATAGCACACAGTTTGCTGTATCAATATAACAATCATAATCTAGACTCAAAAATAATATAAAAGAACATAAGTAACTCCCTCAATCCTCAGAGGAAGCAGATGAAGGCAGAGGTGTCCCTGGCCATTGGGATGTCCCAGGTCTCACTGTCCAGCTCTGGTCCCAGGTCTCTGTCACATTTGACAGGTCCTCCTCAGAACCTGTCAAAGGAGACAGAGAGACAGCTCTGGGGGTGCAGGCACTGCTCTGGGGCTACAGGCAGGCAGTGCTGTGGGGGCTGCAGGCAGTGCTGTGGGGGCTGCAGGCAGACACTGCTCTGGGAGCTGCAGCTTCCCAGTGCTGCAACAGGGTCATCCACAGCACTGGGCTGGCCGGGTGTTGGGATATGCAGGAGGACAAGGAGCAGAGTGAGCACGGCAGCAGAGAATGCTACTTGCCTTATGAAATGGCATAAGACATGCTGACTCCATTACATGGGGTTGGGAGCAGGGGTTGCCAGTCATGTGCTTATAAGCTTCAGATAAGCTGCACCCACTAAAAGTGTAGATACTTCGGTCGTTCCATAATTTGTCCTCTCATATATTCTCTGCATCCAATTTAGTTTACAGATTAACTTTCTCTACTGCTTACCTCTGAATAAAATGTACATTGCTAATGACTTGGACTTGGAGAATTTATTTTCTTTTAATGTGAATAAAATGTTTGAAAAGTGGTGCTAGATTTTCTAAACCAAATGGTGTGGTTTAGGTCTGCGTTACAATTCAGCTTGATAATTTTGGAAATAAGTAGCAGGGGCACTGCAGGATTTTAGAAATGTTCAAGATATTACTGGATTTCACTTGTATTTCCACTTGAAAATAATAGAAGATATGTAGTCATACAAATGGTTGAATGATGCACAAACTGGAATATTTATACTACCTGTATTCTAAATTCCTAACAGTCATTAAGAGGATAATCAAGTGTACACTACTACAGAAAAGCATTAATAAAATAGAAAGCAACAAACTGGCGTAGTCTTTACAAAATCAGTGTCACTGATGTGTGGTCATGTGCTTCTTCACACTTGCATGATATCTTTGTTCCTCTCAAACACAAGTGCTCAGAGTGTGAAACTGTAATAGTAATGTTAGTACAGTCAAATAAAGGGCTGCTGACATTACTTGTTCTATTATGCCTGCGGTTGAAAATGAGAAGGTCATCAGGCTGATCATTCTAGAACTAGATATTCCAGACTCCTTATTTTATTTGGAGAATGTTGAAAAAAATTCTGTGGAAGAGAGCATCTGACCTCCAATCTGATATAAAAAAACAATGATAAAATCTCACTGGTTTTGCTACAGTAACAGGCCATTAAACCTTTTGTTTTTGTGGAAGTTATGTCCAGTTTACTAGCCAATTCCTTCAATGTCAGCCAAGCTCAAATCATAGCAAAAATGAAGCAGTTACATCTCTCCAGTCTTTAAACAACAAACAATGCAACTGCTTTCTCTAAATAAAGATAGAAAGAAATAAAACTGCTTATGAACACTGAAGCCACTGAAGAAGGAAATCAGTCTGTATGGATGTATTAATTGTTCGTGTTTCTGTCTAACTTAGATAAAGATTGTATGAATGTGTCTGCCAAATTTAATGAAGGTGAAGTCTCTTCTTCACCAGTACTGTTTGAAGACAACTCATCTCTGATGGATGGCGAACATGAACAAAGAGGTCTGTCAGTGGAAAACTCAGTTGTCTTTGGAACTTCTGCAGAGGAAGTTGTGAAGGAAATTCGCTTTAGGATTGAGCAGAAAACTCAACTGACTGCTAGTGCAGGTATTCAGACACACAGGAAAATTAATCTTTGTATTTCCATAATGTCTTCTACTTTCATCTCAGAGGGCATTAATTAAAAATTTACCCTTGCCACAGTCTACTTGTGCAACAAAAATATGCTGTCTTTGAAGGTCTGCAAAGAATGTGACTTCGAGTTATTTCAAGAGATATCATGAATATCCAAGCCACTACTGTTTATTTTCTTTTTTACTCTTTTTTAAATTAAAACAGTTATGTCATCTTTTTGCTTCTTTCTACTTGAAATAAGAGTAAGCAGTGAGGAAGAATGAGCAGTGCACTTGAACTAATCTTAGCACTGCTGGCTAGTCTAGTGCATCGTGTAAATTGCTTTTGTTAGACGGTGTGTCATAATGAAATCTATCACTGATTTGTATACTGCTTTTAGTTTGAATAGCAGATGTGTGCTATTATGTGTTTCTAACTTCACACTGTTCTTGCTTAAAACAATATCAAAATTCATTAAAATGTTAGTCCTGGAGAAGTAAATATATGCTGAAGTTAATGAACTCTTTAATAGCTTTTTAATATTTATCAATCAAGTTCTATGTCTTGACTTCAGACAACCCACTTTTAAACCTCAGCTATTTCGATTGACTAAAACCAATGTGTGTCTCTAGCCACTTTGTTTGGATGCCATCCAAACTGCTTTATGAACAGGTCAGTGAGGCATCAGGAAACGGTGAGCTTTATGAAGCAGCTGCAGAGAGTCAGGAAAATGTGGAATGTAAGCAGAGGCGGAGAAACAGCTAGTAAGAAGAAGCAGGATGAAACCCCCTCCCGTGTATGTTATCTCATGAATAATAGCAGAATAATGGTTTTGCTTACTAAAGTTTTGTCTTCTTAAGGATAAGTCAGTGTGTAGAAAACAGGCATAGCTTTTACAAGTGCAAATGGGTTTTAAGCTCCAAAATTAAAAATAATTAAAAGGGTAACTGAAAAAATACTGATAATCAATAATAAGTAGAGTTATTTCTGCCATCTTGAATAATATGTTATATCAGTGAGCAGACTTCTAGGGCTGTAGGACAAAATTATTCTTTCTTTTGCTAAACAAATTTCAGAGTTAATTTGTAAAAACAGTTACTTTGATAGGAAAGAGCTATCCCTCCTAATTCCTCTGATGTCTGTGAAATATATATAAATTTATAATTACTACATTCCAATGGTAGCCCACAAAATAATAGAATTTATTAAAGTCTCTCAAAAAAAGGCTTTTTGCTGAAATACAAGGAAGAAAGGTCTACTCACTTAAGAGTTCATTGTAACTACCATAGTACGTATTTTCTTTCTTGCCATAATCACCATCATAAAATTGTTGACTCATGTAACTGATGTCATTTTTAAGGACTTACTATTTAAGCCCTCTCGACGAGTGCTTGTTATGTTACCCTGACTGTCTTAAAATACACTTTATTTAAGTTATATTTTATGTATTACATGTGTTTGTGTTCTTTCAGGATAGTCACAAAATTTCTTTGCAGAATTGTATCAAATGTGGTTATCAGTAATCATAATTCTTTTCCTTAATTTAGTTTTTGCCAAGTATAAAGACTACTCCGTGGCTTATAAATATTGGGTAGTTGAAATTAAACTTTGTCTTACGTTTTTTAAATTGCCATGTTTTTGTTTGTTTTTAAGGAATAGCACCAAATACAATGTTAGCAAAAATGTGCAGTGATCGTAATAAGCCTAATGGCCAATACAGAATTTCTCCTGAGAGACTAGCAGTGCTAGACTTCTTAAAAGATTTGCCCATTAGAAAGGTAAGAGACACGAGGACATTTACTGTTCTGTCATTATGTTTTTATGTTCTAGAACTGTTTTTATGTTCTAGAAGCAAGATTTTTATTGAAGAGGTAGAATTTTCTAGGTGATCTTCCATGTTGTGTTTGATTCAGATTTTCTTAGTAATGGATCTACAAATTAAAATTTTTCATTATAATGTTACATACTCTTCTAGGTGCCAGGTATTGGAAAAGTAACAGAGAAGATGTTAAAAGCCCTTGGAATTGTAACTTGCTCAGAACTTTACCAGCAGAGGGCGCTGCTTTCTCTTCTTTTTTCAGAAGTATCTTGGCGTCATTTCTTGGATATTTCCCTTGGCTTGGGCTCAACACATTTGGAAAAGTAAGTCATGGAGGTTTCTTCCTTCTGTGTTAACATTTTTCTGAATGTTTCCTTGTGTATGTTACATACTGAACGTATTATTTAATTAGCAAATATTATGGAAATACGCTTGTTTAATGTATTTTTTTAAATGTCTGATGCCTGTTACTGTTATGTCTAAGATGCAGTATCCAAACATGAAAAAACAAAGGTTTGTACAGCCATGTCTAAATATGAAATCCAAAAAATCTCATCAGGGAAGTTGTACATAAGTGTATGTCAAGAGATCTAGGATAACCTTATAATTATCAAAATAGCTAAACATAACTGAGATGTCCTAAAAAGAGTTCTGCACGCCCTTTTCTTCAAAAACTATGCACATTCATTGGTGTTTATGATTCTGGGATTATAATGAAAATCACAAAGGTATTTGATCTTTTCTGGTGGTGAATTGTCGGGAAGTTTCTGTGTCTCTTATCAGGATTACGTATTTGTAATATCAACATGTGAATTTGGTGGAATAGAACTGAAGATTATTATATCCTTCTTAATACATGTTCCTTTAAGGTTGGCTGTACTTCAATGGCTTTTAGCCTCCTTTTTAGGATGGGAGAAGTCAGTCTTAGCAGTGTATATATCTTTTCAACAATATTTGTCATTTCTAAGCCTGTCCTGGAGACAAACATGTTCTTTAAAAAAACCCAAAACATAGCATTTTACTGTTTGTTTAACTAAGAGCCTTAATTAAGAATTGACTCCTTTTTAAAATATATTCCTTTCCACAGCACTGAAATTCTATTTTAATGCTTGACAATGATTTGATTTTATTAGAAGTTCCAAAGTGTCTTATGCACTTCTGAAAGACCTATTCTGTATTATATCTGTAATTTCTCTGACAATAATCTTCCCTTTTTTCCATTTGACTACAAAATAATATAGGTAGTTAGCAGTTTGAAGCCCAGTAATGTGCTAGCACAAATTTTTATGGTTTTTTTTTTTATTCAGAGTATAAAAATATTTTTTTAAAATATGTGGTAAGACTGACTTGGTGAAGGTGACATGATAAAAGATAAAACACAATTTTCAAAATATTTTTTTCAGTTAATATATAAACAGACCTTGGATAGTCTTTTAACAGTTGGTGCACTCTTTCTTCTTATTCACCCTAGTTAGGTGGTTAGGTATTTTACAGCCTGGGATATCTCCCAGTACATTTTGGAAAAAAAAAAGGGAAATTTTTTTTTTTTTTTTGGTCAGCACCAACCTGATTTCAGTGATTTTTGTGTAGAGAAAGCAAACACTTAGTATATTAAAACTTGGGTCTTCAGTAAATAGTTAATCTTATTGTGTCTGACTACCTTCTTTTAAGAAAATCTGACAATACCAAATTTCTTATTTCCAATAATTGAAAACAGAAGAATGACCTGAAATTGCTCTGTTGTATCTCCTTATATGCAGAAGAGTTGTTAAAGGATACTCAATTAACACTGAGAAGAAAGAAAGCAACAAACAAAAAAAGCTTTAACACATCAACTTTAAGCTGAACAATCTTTTAGCCTGAAAGCAAAATATTTCCTCAAATCCTCAGATAAAAGAAATATTCAAACATACATGTATGTATGGGATTCTAATAGCCATGCTTCACAGTTATAGCTAAGACTATAGGCATAGGATTTGTAGTTTGTTTTCTTTTTGAATCAGTCTTTCTCTGACATAATAGGTGATTTCTGAGGGAATTTTTTATTTGTTTGGTTTTTTAAACTTTTTTTTTAAAATAAGACATCTGTGTCTGATCTATGTCTTTACTTAATCTACAGTATTTTTTGAATTACCGTTTTTGCACTTGCTTAAAATTCATGTAAAAGATTTGTAGAAAAAATTAACATCCCAACTTCATAGAAGAGACTACTGTTAGTTATTTGAGCATGATTGGTTGACTCTGAGTTTATTGAAAAGGTAACATTTCTACATCAAGTAAGTATAATCAACTTTTTTCTCTTTAAAGGGATGGAGAAAGAAAAAGTATGAGCACTGAAAGGTATGCTTCTTTAGTATTGAAAAAACTACATTAACCATTGGAAGCACTAAATACCAAGTAATGTATACTTATTAGTCGTATAATTTTACTGTGTATTTATTTAAAAATGCACATATACAATAGGCTCACTAAATCAGATTCAAGCTTTGATTATTTTTTGTCCTTGGCTCCAGAACTCCATGGAGGTATTTTTGTTTGAGTATTCTCTTATCATCCAATTCTGCTAGAGCCTTTAATGCATCAAAGTGATCTTTAAACCATAAGATAAGGTGGAGATATATAAGGACTTGAAATTTTTTTATCTGTTTAAGCTTAATGTCAATATCAGTGTAGTAGTCTGCAGTCACTTGTATTTCCTAACTAAAGTTTTTACTAGAGTAAAGTCTCTTAAGAAGGTAGTTAATTTTTTAAAATTAGTTCTGCCAGGAGAATCTGTAAAGCACTCTAATAATTATCCCCATCATCATGTGTCTTCTTAGAAAAGGTGGTAAGAAAAGATGCTTAGGCCTGTCATTTTGTGACTTAATAGCTGTGAGCAGCTTAAAAAAGCCTAATGCGATTTTGGTACCATCACAGGTGAAAAATTTATGGCTTTGGTGTTGTGCTGCCTTGCAATCAGACAGATATTTTGGACATCTTTATAGTGTCTGTACTGCTTTTTTTCCTCTGTTTTTTTCCTCCAAGGGAATGGTTTTAGACCAGAAATGTTTACAGGCTTCTGAGATCATGAAACTACTTTATATGGGGGAAAAGACACCTCTGAAATAGCATTCTCTCTATCCTATCCCTTTCAAGCCTTGGACTTTTACAACTTCTCAGTCGCTGCAGTATTGTCTGAACAGCATGAGTTACTCCTTGGATAGCAGTACAGTGAAATACTCAGCCGATTAGTTTGACAGCATGCAAACATTCTTAGGGGAATGTGAATCATAATAGAGGATGTCTTTTTGGTTCAGTCAGGTAAAACTGACTATAACTTAGTGATACAAAATCCACTGTAATTTTATTGACCTTATATTTGTAAATATAAAGCCTGACAATGTGAGACCTTTCCAAAGCCTGTGCTGTCTGTAAGTTTTGCTTTCTATTTCTCTTGAAACAACTGAAGGTTGCTTTTCCTGTGATGTTATTACTGAAAAGCAAATGTACAACAAAAAGATAACACTGTAATTTCTGTCCTAAGAAGCTCTAGCAAAGGCAGTTGGCAAGATTTTTTGGCAGAAAGACAGCTTTTCCTCCTCTGAGGCTAGACATAATTATCCTAGTTGGCATCTTATTCTTAGCGTCTGCATTATCTGTTTCTGATACTTGGCTCTGATGTTGACCTCCATCTCCTGGCTTTCTTCTGATGTTATATGGTGTATACAAATGAGATTAAATACCAATAACTTGGCTGGCTCTATGAATTCACTTACTGTTAGTCTTCTGCCTTGCAAATGCTTAAGCATTAATGACATTAAATTTGAATAATTTTCAAATAGTACATGAAAAATTGAAACCAAATTATTTCATTATTTGAAGGATCTTTGAAACATTTTGCAAAAAAAATCCCTATTAATAATTATTGTGTCTTGAAGTAAGACTTTTAACCTATATAACATTCTTCTGATTATAGTATTGTTTAACTGTATAAAAAATACTTATAGATTGCAGACAATGAACATACTATAGGATTCATACTGAAAAATATCATATTTTTGTCTTAGAACATTCAGTGAAATAAACACAGCAGAAGACCAGTACAGTTTGTGTCGAGAGCTCTGCAGAGACCTTGCTCAAGACTTACAGAAAGAGGGACTTAAGGTATTTATATTATTTAGGTCACTTGCAAAAAGATGCTTTGCACTCCAATAATTCTATGCAGTTTTAGTATGTGTGCTTTCAGTAAGCATTGTACCATGCAATCTTTCTTCAGAAGCCTGCATTCTTTAATTTGCAGATGTTTAGGATGACTTAGGCAGCATTTTGTTGTTGTGCCAAGTGGCTGTCTAGCAATATGTGTAGGATAAAAATTAAATCGAGTTTTGAAATATGAAAAATTAATGAAGTTGTTTGGCATGTAAACATTTTATGCTAAAAGCATAATGTTTGTAAGGCAGTAATAGAGCTCATCATCCATAAGACATGTTTTGGTCAATTGTGTAATACTAATGTATTTAAAACACTGTTTCTCTCCTGTATTCATACAGGACCCATTCAGTAGCCAATTTCTTAGTTTTAAGATCTTGACATGTGCTGAACTTGATGACCAGTTACTCACACCATTCAGTGGTATCAATAGTAGAAACAGTCCCTTTATTCCTTCTCCCGAGATACCTGTTCTTTACTTGGAAAGAGTAAATATTTTCTTTGAAGGTCTTACGGTAAAGCAAGGGATTACATTTACAGCCTAAAATAATTGTTGTTAATGTTCAGCCATAAAAGATTGTCTCAAAAGATGACAGTTTGAAAGGGAGATGATCAGCTAACGAGGACAAAGGGGAGAAGCTTACAAAAGCACCAAAGAGAGTGCTAGTTATTTACATTTGGATGGACATTATAAATCACACAAATTGTTTGGGAGGTGCTGCCAGGGAAATATCTGCACCAAACACAAATACTGTGTGTGGTTGTGATAGCACTGTGCAGGAGGAAGTAATTTTTCTATGAATTTGTAATGGGGTATCACTTTTTTGTTCTTCATAGTTAGGATATCCAGCACTGAAAATTTCCATATGAGGAAATAATTTTTTTAGATGGGATAGAAGTTGCATCTGTAGCCAAAACATGAACTCAATTGAACATGCACTAGTGGCAGAAGGTCTGCTGAGAATTGCAGTCAAATGACCCAGTTTAACTTTGGCAGAAATTTAGGGGCAAGTACAGAATCATGCAGACAAATTCTTGGGAGTGCCCCTTGGTGTGCACAGATAAGCACACAGTGAATATAAGCAGACTTAACTATGGCTTAAGAGCCCTTATATAGATTCTACATAATAATTGCTTTTGTGTCATACATGACATATCTTTTAAACCTTATTTATAATTTTATTTTTTCTAGGGTAAAACAGTTACATTGAAGCTTAAGAATGTGAACTTCGAAGTTAAAACAAGAGCTTCAACTGTGCTGTCTTCTGTTTCTACTGAGGAGGAAATATTTACTGTTGCTAAAGATTTGTTAGGAACAGAAATTGGTAGTGTTGCTCCTCACCCTCTACGGATAAGACTTATGGGTAAGATATTTCAAATTCATTCTTCCTTTTCAGAGTCAGGAAATCTGATAGTGTTCTGAAATAACACACCATACTTTAAAGTAAAACTGGTATGAATGCATTTACCATTTTTCTATTGCCCTGGTAATTTTTTTCAAAGTGAAACAGATCTGTGCTGAGTGAGTAACTTAGGAAGTTTTACTAATTGAGGTCATACTTGTTTTATGCAACAACAGTCACGTCATCATGACCGTAGATACTTCATCATAGCAGTGCTTAATTCTGCTTCTTTAGAAGAACTTTCAAATCTACTTTGCGCCACAACAACAGAAGTGCTTACAGATATGAAAATGCAGTGTTCTGCAGGAGATGTGAACATTTCTAATAGTAAACTCTCTGTTGTGACCCTAAGACATGTGTTTCAGGTCCTTATGCTTTCTACTTAAAACATTGAGTGGTATATAAAATTTACTTGTCTAAGATATTAGAAAGTACTGAAGAAAAATATGTTTTGATGGGTGAATTTCATGCAAAACCTTCAGACTCAATTCTGTGTAACTGTATTTATAACTTTGTGTTATAAAGCAATGAGTTAAAACTTCAGAGTACTAAAATTAATAATATGGTTGGACTAGTGCTTGGGTCTGATAAAATGGTATTGGCATTGTGATGTGTTTGGAGGTAGGTTGGCATCTTTTTAAAGATAAATTTTGCCTTTATTGAGTGAATGTATACCTCAAAAGGTGTTAATTAGGAGTTGTTATCAAGCTTTCATAGAATTGTTATTATAAGTTTCTTTTTCATCATTAGGTGTACGAGTATCAGGATTTCTAACAGAAGAAGAAAAGAAATACCAACAAAAAAGCATTACTAGTTTCTTAAAATCAGGAAAAGAAATTGGTTTCTTTAGGCTTCAGCCAGAGAAGTCCAACCAAGAGTATTTCACAAAAAATTCAGAAGCACCTCATAGAAGGAGTTTTTTTGATCAAAAGCGAGCAGCAAGACAGCTAAACAGTAATGATGATAAATCACCAGCAAATTTTGTGGAAGAAACAAAGAAAGTCACAGATTTACCGAATTCTAATGTTTGTAAGATCTTCACATGTCCTGTGTGCTTTGAGAAGCAAAGCAGCAATAATTTGGAAGAACTTAATAGACACATTGATGAGTGCCTCAGTGGGATGTGTGTTAAAGATACTATGGAAATATCCAAGAACGACAGTTCAAGAAAAAATACATCTAACTTTCTTCCACAATTTAAAAGTGAGTGGGTTGATAAATGTCAAAAAAATGAAACAGATCAATTATCAGGAAGAGACCAGTCTGCAAGTTTATCTGACAGCTCTACTGACAATAGCACAGAAAAATTTGGTCAGATAATACCTGATAAATCTCCCAGAGAACGACAGCCTAGCAATCTCAGTGACATTGCTAGAAATGTGTGTATGAAACAGTGTCTCTTCCCCAAACTAATATCACAAGACAGTGAAGACCATTTTGACAAGACTGAAGATACAGAAGGAAGTAGTTCATCCTGTTTCTTTGAAGCCAAAGAAGACAGTGTTCTTGTTTGTCCAGTTTGTAATTTGGAACAGAAAACCACTAATCTTATGTCATTTAACAGACATGTTGATGTCTGCTTAAATAAAGGCCTTATCCAGGAGCTGATAGAAAAAGAGGATTTTCCTACTAAGACATATAATATGAAAAACTCAAACAGAGTTTTCTCTGGTAAGCATGTGCATTAGTATATATTTAATTATTCAAATTGTCTGCTTTTGCAATTAAGATACTTTGGCAGTGGTGTACTTTGAACTTTTGGGACTTGGAATTTTTTTTTTCAACAAGTTTATTTAAGGTCTGTATAGGAGTGAACATTTTTATTTAAAACATATCAAATTGATTTTCATGACAAACTAGATTTATGAATGTGATGTTAATTTGTCAGTGCCCTCCCATTTGCCACAGAAGTGACACAGGAATTATGGAAATTGTACGCTCATTTATGGAAATTGTACGCTGGTTACACCCAACCAGATTCAGAAAGGTGTTTGTGAGGTCACTGAGATTGAAGTGAATATTAATGAAAACATCAACTTGTATTGTTTCAGATTCAGTTAACAGAGAGGCTCCATTATGTCATGTGCTGGCAAAAATAGAGAGATGAGAACTAGAGCTTAAAGGAAGAAACTTCCAATTCTGTTTTGTAGCTTATAAAACATATCACGTAACTCCATCTGTAACATGCCACAGCAGTATCATTCATGTTTTGTGAAATAGTTTCTCTTTTTGACAAAGAGTTCATCTTCAGCCAGATTAGAGTGCATGTGCAGGCGGTAAAGTATCTGCCTAAAGTAGTCCCTAATCTATTTTGGGAGCCTTATAAAAGGAAATTAAAATGCTAGTGTGTTAGAATTTTCAAAATACAATTAAGACTTAAAATAAGAATATTTTACAAGAAAATTTTTAAAGTGATATTGCTGTTACATGTGCAAGCATGCTTTAATTTAAATGGAAGACTTACTTTAAGTGAAGTTTCTTTTTGCCCCCTGCAGGATAAAAAAATTAAAACCACGATTTTTAACTACCACCTTGAAAATCAACAACATTATGCTGAAATATTTCTGAAAACTGTTACAAGGTTCAAAGTAATCCCTTACAATTCAGTAACATAAAGGCTTTTTGGTTTTCTCTTTTAAAAATGGTAATATAAATTACAGTATTCAAGTTGCAGATAATAAAATGTTACCTGCTTCTTGAGACAGATTAAATTTTAAAAAAAAAGTCCTTCCATGTATGTAATTTCAGAAGCATTCTTTCTTTATTGAAGTAACTAATTTTGGTTGTTTTGAATTACTTTTAAGGAGGTTTAAGCAAAGGGCAGCCATGCACAAATCCATCACAAGGAACAAAAAGGTAAGTAGTTTTTGGAAGTTTGAGTATGCAACTTGTTTTAAAGTAATGAAGTCTAGAAAAATTGATTCAGTGTTGTAAAACCTGTGTTGGTATGCATTGTATATTTTAACCTCTTACTTTTTTTATTTTCCTTTCCTTTGTTTAACCCTAGGTCTGGACTAACAGCTTCACAGTCAGTATCAAAAAAACCCAAGTCAAGCAATTCCAAACATACAATCAAAATGTTTTTTAAATGACTGTGTAGCAAACGTGTTCTATATGAAGCATTTCATAGAGTTTTATGACTGCAAGTTAATTTAGCATTGGCAGTAGGCTGGATTCAGGTTCCTGTCATTTTGGAACCATTCCATATCTGTGTAATAAGAACATGATGTCTGAGATGAAAGAAGCGATAAAATGAAGGGTTTTTTCTTTTCTTTTCTTTGAAGAATAATACTTCTTTTCCCAATTGTTTCCACGAATCAGAATTTGCTAGCACTTTGATTTAGCTCCCTAGAATACACATGAATTACTAGCTAGGGTGCTGCACTCTACTTGCTGAAGGCCATCTTCCCACACCTGAACTTCTGTCTTCCCTATTGTAAAAATAAAATAGTGAGATTAACTGTGCGAAAACAGAGTTGAGTTGCTGGATTTCAGCTAATGTCTGTCTTCATAGTGGACACAAAAATGTGTTAGTCTCGCAGTTGCACAGGGTAAGAACAAGAACTTAGAGCACTATGAAGCTCTTATTGTTACTGAAAATTACTAAAGTAAGAGTTGATTGACCAGATCTGAAGGACTCGTCGTGGTGAGATGTGGGAGGCCATGGGTCGGGCCTTGAAGTAGGAATATCCTGGGAAGAAACTGCTTTCTAGTTTAGGGTGAGAAACTAAAACATTTTCCCAAGGTTCTCCATTCCTCTCTGTAAGTCTAGCTTCATCACTCAAATAATACTCCCTTCTCTGTTCTAGAAGATTCTGTACCTCCTGTTCGCCCATTGGCCCCTGTTCAGCACCACTACCCTCTCTGCTCTCCATTGGCTATAATTGTGTCACTCCTTCCCAGCTCCTCCCTTCTCCCCTATCCCCATTGCTTTTTTGTATCCAAACCCCTCCACTCATCCCTGGTTATATACTTCATCCCCTCACGGCTCTCAGTGTCTTGTGCATGGGTCCCGTGTGCCTCTGTGAGAGAGAGCAATATCCTCACTCCGCGGCTCCTTGATCTTGAGACCCTTCAACTGTGGTTATGGACCTTCCAATTCATCCTACCTTCCACCTCACCTGGACTCTACTTTCCCTGGACCCTCCACTGGTGCTGTAATAAAACCCAGTTGGATGCCTCGAGTCAAGAGCCCTCCTTCATTCTCTGGTTGAGTGTGCATTTGTTCCATCTGAGTGTAAGGTGGGCTGGAGAAGTTGGTCATCTGGACCGGGAGGGGATTGCTCTCGGGAAGGCAGTCACCCCAACAGCACCTGCCCAGGGGTTCCCGCAGTGAGATATACAGTGACTTCACTTATTTAAAAATATTTTAAAATCTGTTGATTGAGAGGATCCCTCCAGGATAGTCAGAAAAGTGCTGTTTGATCTTTGGCCTTTCCAGATGGACTGAAAACTTTTTTACAGTTTGAAATTGTTACCAGTGAGTAACACTAAATTTACTCTAAAGGAAAGGTTTAATGGTGCAATAATAATGAATGATGTGCAAATACAAGATAATGAACTTTCTTATTGTTTAGCTATCTTCCTCTTTTAAATTATTTTGTGTTTCTGAATTAAGTGAATTCTGTGAGTGCATATGTGGAAAGAGGAATCTAAGTGCAAATATTTAAAATGCTCTGTTTAGATTTTTTTCTGTTCACACCAAATTGTTTAAAGACATTTTATTATAATTAAATATTTATCAGACAAATAATTTATTATAACAGCATATTTCTTAGAAGTTATACAAACAGTGCCATGCCCTGTAGGAAATATAAATTGCTTTTTTAACTCTAAGGTCTTTTAAAGAGCAGGCTGCAGTAGAAGCATCTATTTTGCTGTTCAACTGTATTGGGATTTGCTTGCTTTTTAAACAAACCAATGTATACGTGGTATGTATTAGCTGCCCAAGCTCAGTTCAGAATATGCTTTCCTGTTTCCAGAATTGCTGGAATGATTACACCATCTCTACCTGCTTACCTTTTTGTTTGTCAGATGCCACTGTGCCCACAGCTCTGTCATTTGAATTCATGTCAGTGCTCCCTTATCTTCTTTGGACCAAATCAGCAGGACTGGTTCAGACTGTAAATTGATTCAGTCAACTGCTTCAAACTGGGTCAGTGAGCACTAAGCATGAGCTGTTCTATTGACAGACATGGGAACTTCTGGTAGGAAGGATGTAAAAGCAACTGAGGGAACATAAGTGTGCCAACTGCTGTTTAGAAAAAACTGCTGTTTAGAAAGTGAATGCTTATTCCTTTTTTAGTTTGTATCTCTGATTCAATAAAGTGTAGCATCTAAGCATTACCTTGTCACTGTGTGTCTATCTTTAAAACGTCTATTTTTACATAAGCATTACATAGCAAAAAGTAAGCTGCTCTTAAGTGGTTAAAAAAATAAGCTAGTTGGCTTAGCCTCAAAAGTTGCCTTGCCATTTGTTTAAAAGGGAAGTGTCATAGAGTTATCCTAGTATCATGAAAAAGTTGTGGATGTGTCAGTACTAACGTGAAAATAAAACTCATAGTGTGACTGTAAATTATTTATTACAATTCCATTGTGTGTTGACCCTGGCTAGATGCCAAATTGCAGCCACCAAAGCTGCTCCCACTCACCTCTGCGGACAGGGGAGAAAAAATGTAATGAAGGGTTCATGGGTTGAGATAAAGACTGGGAGAGATCACTCATTAAATACCATCATGGGCTAAGCAGGCTCTAATTGGAGATATGAATTGAATTTATCACTAAAAAAAAATGAGAGCAGGATGAGAAGTAACATAAGAACCTAAAACCACCTTTCCCACATCCATCTCTCCTTCCCAGCTCTTCCTCCTCCCCAGTGGCACACAGGGAATGGAGGCTATGGTCAGCTCCTCACACATTGTTCCTGCTCACAGAGAGGAATCTTTCCCTGCTCCAATATAAGAGGTCCCTCATATATGGGAGACAATTCTCCATGAGCTTCTCCAACATGAGTCCATCCCGTGGGCAACAGATCTCTGAGCTGTTGCAGTGTGGGTCACTCTTCCATGGGGTGCCGTCCTGCAAGGACAGGCTGCTCCAGTGTGGGTCTCCCACGGTGTCACAAGTCCTGCCAGGAAACCTGCTGCATCATGGGCTCCTCTCTCCACAGGTCTGCAGGTCCCTGCTCCAGTGTGAGCTTCCCATGAGGTCACAGCCCCGTCTCAGACATCCATCCATCCGTCTCAGTTATGCTCCAGCATGGGTCCCTGCACCCCCCTCACCTCCATGGGCTGCAGGGGTATCCCAGCTCCAGTGCCTGGAGCACACCATATTCCTGCTTCTCCACTGACCTTGGTGTGTACAGAGCTGTTCCTCTCACGTATTCTCACTCTGTTCTTCTGTGGTCACAATGACAATTTTGCAATAATCTTTTTTCATTTCAAATCTCTTATCAGAGAGATCTTACCACTTGGCTCAGTCTTGGCCAGCAGCAGGCCCATCTTGAGCTGGCTAGAATTGCCTTTTCTGGATATGGAGGAAGCTTCTGGTAGCTTTTCACAGAAGCCACTCCTGTAGCATCCCTGCTACTAAAGTTTGGTTATGCAAACCCAATACAAAATTGTGCGTGTTTCTGGTTTACAAGTCTTTTTTTCCCTACTTCTTACAGGTTTTTATACCATGCTTATTACTGCTTTCATCTGAAGAAGGCCTTTAGTTCATGATTAAGCATTGTTGACAATTTCTGTGATAAAATTTTTCTTGTTTCTTGTGGAGAAGACTGTATAAGCAATGTCTTTATTTTGCATTTTCCTCAGTGACTCTGTGTTATTCAATTGCTCTTAAATTAAAATATGTTTTTATTAATATGTGACAGTTTATTTTTAGCTGTCCTTAATTAAGTGTAAATTATTTCCTGTATGTGAGCCATTCCACACTTAGTATATCCATAGTTCTGAAGCATGTGAATGATCTAGGTTAGCAGCAGATGCCACTTCTTGTGCAATGTTAGTACCTCCTTATTTAAGGTATACATGTAAGTACTTAATCTTGAATTCCTCTTTTAGTTGAATAACAGAGAAAAAGGGTAGTGATTCTGTGATCTTAATGTTATTTCCTCTGCCATTTCTAAAGAAAGAAATTTAGACAGTCTATACATTCAACCTGCTTGGGTCTCACCTTACATTTTATTTTTATATTGGCTCTGCTCATTTCTGTATGAAATTGTTATCTTAAGTATTAAAGGAAATGCTCAATTTCCTGTAAGAATGAGAGCTCTGTGAAGGCAAGTAAGGAGTATGTTACAGTACTTCCTTGCTCTGCACTTTGTTTCAGATTCTTCAGCTCTGTAAGTTTCTGTCCCAGGCTGCCTGCAGTCTATGGGGGCCATCTGAAAGACTCAAGATGGTAGAAAGTGGTTAGAGAATGTGCTAAACTTGCTACATATAACGCTTAAGCACAGGATACGCTGTGAAATAGTATTATGTATTAATAATTAGAACTGGAAATTAGCAGCTTGTGTCATGACTGAAAATTATGATTTTACTGTAACTGATGCTCTATATGAGACTACAAATCTGTCCCTCCTTTGGTGCCACCTTTGTAGGCTAACCTAATCACTCCGTAGTTGTCTGTTGTCACTCATTTTGAAACTGAGCATTAACATTGAAAACAGTCTGTATTAGTATAAATAATACAGACCTACCTTTCTTACTTTTAAGAAATTGCTGGAACATTTGACTCAGAGGAAACCTCCATGATTGAGTTATGGCTAAATCAGTTATGGCTTGTTCTTCTCACTGAGCTTACTTTCCCAGAGTTGTTTTTTGTTTCAGCTGAATTACATTCACCTGCTGGAACTACAGTTGGTGAAATTGTCTTATCAGACTGAAGTGTATCAATTGAAAAGATTTTTTTACATCACAACCTCTCTATACCAAAAATGTTTAAAGGAGATAAGAACTGTGAAATCTCTTTATCATATGGTAAACAGAATCTGAGCAAATAATTTTTGTATCCAAATTTGTTAAATTTACAAACTCTTGAGTCTTAGATTAATTTTATTATGGACAGATACAGTGTTAGTCATCTCGGAAATTAATGTGATCGTGTAATTTAATTTAAGAAAAAATTACAGCAAAGGAACTCCAATGTGTCTATAGTTGTGTGAGGCTGAATACTGGTGGTTCTGCTTTCTTGGAACTACTTTTCCTATATTTATTTTGAATAGCAATATCAAAGGCTGTTTTTAAAGTAAAATTCAAGGTAGTCCCTTTAAAAAAAAATATATATATGCCCTGTTGTGGAAAAATCAATTGTCTATGTGAAAGGAAATACCAAAGACCAAAGTCATCATGGATGTGAAGATAAGTTGAGAAATTGGTAGGTTAGATGGATATCAGTATGTCAAGTCACAAAACCTGAACATTTGGGCATGTGTGTTTTGGTTTTAATGGACTTTGACAAAAGCAAATGCAAACAGTTTTTACCTGAAATTCAAGGGTCTTGTGGTTGGACAAATACTGCTGCCATGTGTGCATAGTTATGCACAAATTAATGTCAGAAGCACTTCAGTCTCTCACATCCTAAGGCTGAGTGAAGCACGCAGCAGTGCAGGGATGGTCACCCTCTCCTGTCCATTGAACACTGGTTACAATTATGAGAATAACTCCCCAAAAATGGTCTTCAACCTCCATAGAGAGCTCCATGACTACCAAGTAGTTAGTAATAAATCCACCTGACTCCAGGCATCCCATCCAGGATGGGATGTGTGTGTACACATTTGCTTATGGCATGGCTTTTCAAAAGTTGTCTGGCCCAAGAGGACTGCCTTTTGTCTGACGTGAGCACTTGAGGGTGCTCCTGGCACGTAAGACTAGCCACTAGGGAAGACGTGAGGGGGATTGGATGGGGAAAGGATGATCCCATTCAGTGCCTAGCCACTGTCAAGAAATGCAGTGTATTTAGTGCTTGGTTTCTCTTAGAACAAACTCCTAAAGCTGCTCCACAACTCTGCCCCTTTGCACGGTGGTGTCCTGGCACCAGCGGGGTGCTGTGCAGGTGTGCCTGCAGGGTGTGTTTGGCCCGGCTGCGTGTGCTGGCGTCCTGGGAACCGGTTTGTCGGGGCCAGCGCAAGACACCTCCCTCGGCACACCGGCCTGGGGCCCTTTCCCTTGGCTGAGGAGGAAGAGGAGCCCAGTGGGCAGCAATGAAGGGCCTGAGCCGCCTGCTCCGCGCCGGGGAGGACGCCGCGCAGGGAGCCGTGGCCGTGAGCCACGAGAGCCGTGAGTCCGCAGGGGGTGCAGGCGAGGAAGGCAGCGCAGGCCCGGCACAGCCCCCGGGGCCTTCCCTGGAGGCAGCGTGTCGGGCCCCGTTCGGGCTGCTGGGACCCACCCAAACGTCCTTTTTGCCTTGACGGGAGAACAAAATGAGCGGTGGGGGTTGGAAAGGACAACAATGAACATGAGCTGTTTACATGTAGTAAAAGATATCAGCAAATGTGTGGATGTGGGACTGGGAGCTGGGCTTTAGCATGTGGTGTTCCCAGGGGCAAGTCCTGCAAATTGCCCACTGCCGTGCTTTAACTTTCGCTTTGAACTGCTCTGAGAGGTATTAGTCACATCCCTGGAGCAGAGTGTCCGCCACCAGTTTCACAGACAATCACCCAGTTTTGAGAGGCACACAGAAACCAGAGGATCTTGCACTCAGAAACACAACCCAGTGATGGGGTCTCCAGCCTTCAACCTGCAAACCAGTCTGTGAAAGGACAGACTGCTCTGGCGTGAGCTGTAGTTAGTGAAAACAGGTGATTTGTGGAAATTAAGTGGTAGCTGCCAAACCCTGCTTCGTCCCAGTGATCACAGTGTGACAACCAGGAGCCATTATCTTGGGCTGTGGTTCTTGCTCCCAGGCTGGCAAAGAGGGCAGAAAAAGAAAAATAACTAATGAAATTATGCCATTGGACCCAATAAGTAGTTTTTCCCATGACTTCTTTGAAATGGAGGATTACTATTTTAGAAAAAAAAACTTAGTGACTTAAGGAGTTCCCTACATTGGTCTAGTAAATTTATTTCCAGTAAAAAGAAAGCCCAGAGAAAACTTTGAAAATGTTCCCAGATCATTAAATAGATTATTTAATTTTTAGAAACAATAGAGTAAAAGTACTTATATTGCCATTTGAATCCAAATATTGTTGATTTTTAAAAATTTTACCTTCTTGGACCTCTTCAGCCAATTCAGATTCAGGGGTTGTTTTCCCATGTATTAAGATAGTTGTGGATTTCATCTTGTGGACATCACACCAGGAAGTTAAAAGCAGACCAGGGAGGTAGGGATACATACATGCAGGGATTTTTGCTGTTCTATAAGTACTGAAACCTCAGCTGCATTTTTTTAATTCATTGCAAATCATCTTTATTTGTGGTATTCCTGAAAGAAAGAATTAAGCCTCTAAAGTAAGACATAAAAAAGAGGAAAAAAATGATTGAAGATACCTCACTTTTTGTTTTGAGGTCAACTAAGCAATTTACTTTTCTTCACTTTTAATTACTTCCTTGCTCTTCCAAGAGATGAAAAATCTTGGGATGTTCAATATACTGCTGGCAGAGCTCTCTACGAAACTCTCTCTCTCTTCTTTATCTGTATTGGAAGAAGAAATCAAAGTACTAATTTCAGTTAGCTCAAAAGAAAAACAGAATATAACTACTAAATTGTTACAATATGAATTATATATTTATTATATAAACCAGACTTTTGTATGGTGCCGAAGAAAATACCTCCTAAAAAACCTGGAAGTCACACATAGATAATTGATTGCTGCTGTTACTTGAAAATAAGAGTAATTGCTAGTTACAGGAGGAGTGTTAAATCCTGGAGACCCCTGCTTGGATAGAAGATTTCCATAAAGCTTAGTCTGACAGCTCTGTACTCTTGTAATTTCATACATGAAAAAAATATTTTGCAAAGATAGCAAAAGTTTGGGCAACAAATCTGAGTCATGGTGTGTCTACATTGTCAGAGTTCTCAACTCCTGCATCACTAAGTGTGAAGAGGGAGAGATTATTCAGAAATATAATGCATAGAGGAAAAGCTTTTTTTGGCAGCACATGGCCAATTCATGGCTTCTGGACAAGAGAGAATTTATTTTTTGTTATTTTTTGTTAGAACTGCAAAACTGTCCTTTCTGATGCATATACAGTAACGAAACATAATTTTATCTTGTTTTGAAGGCAGTGTTGCATAAAGTCTTAGGGTTGTTCCTGATTGTCCTGATATGCATTTATCTTTGCATCCTCATGTAAGACAGCCGTCAGCAGGAATGAATGTTGCCTTATTGTAATTAATTGCTGCTAATTAGTGCTGTATCTTTTTTTCCACGTTTGACATAAATTTGCCTTGAGCAACATACCCTTTAACCATTGGTTCACCTGAGCTTGAAATCAAGTTAGTAGAAAGCTCTCTTGGATACTTCCTTCCTAAGGTAATAACTGTGAAAATTGGGACTGAGGGATTTATTCTTCAAAGATCACTGTTCCTAATGATGATTTTGCTGTCAGCCATGCTCCTTGTCCCAAATGCCAGGAGAGCATTTTTATTTGCAAATTTTTTTTTTATTATTTTTTTTTCCCCTTCCTTGTGCCTGCCCGTTGTAATGCAAATAACACATATACTGTGATTCCCAGAGAAGTTTGGAAGGATGATTCTTTTATTTGAGGCACTTGGATAATTTCTTAGGGAAACTGGAAACACCTTTGCAAGAATCCAGTTTAATTTCTGATTCATTTTGTACAGTAAAAATGTGATTATTCTCCCTGAGATGATAGCCGCAGGGAACATATAAACACAATTAAGTGAATGCCATCCTGATTTTCCTTAGTATACTCTGCAGTCATAGTGCCTCAGGCTGTGTCCTGATCAGGCATTAATGAACTTAGATATACTGTGGTGGGATGAACTTGCCTGGGCTCTCAAGAATAAGATAATTCCTGTAGTTCCGGTCCAACAGACTGGTGCCTCCTTGGTGATATCACTGGACAAGTGGCCTTCAGCCCAAAATAGTCTAGACAGAAGACATCTAACTAATAGTATTTTAAGTGTGACATGCTATTTGATTAAAAGTATGTACTAATGTTTCTGCAACTGGTGTAACTGCTACACAATTTTCTTTTAAGTGATTAATGAAATGCTACAGTATAAACATGAAAAATATTCTGACCTCCAGTTAAAGGAGGTCAGACACTGGAATTTTACTTCTCAGAGTTGCTATCAGACACCGGAATTTTAGTTTTCAGAGTTACTGAATATGTCTTGCTACTTAAGCTGATTGATGCTAATTTTTGGATTGAGACGTTAAAGGAAGGTCTTAATTTAGAAGTGGGTTTTGTTTATTTTGGTTTGTTTTTCCAGTCATGTCACACTGTTTGGTTACTGCTTTACATATTTTGTGTTTTGGTGGTGTGTTTTAAAAAAGAGAAATTTCTCAAAGAATAGGAAATAAATGCTGAAGTTTGTAGAATTCACTGCTATGCCTATGCAGTAATTTGAGATGCAGTTAGGTAGTAAGAGCTTCATAAACTGTTCCTGTGAGTGTTAGCTCTGGTAATCTGTGTTGTGAAAGGTCTCCCTTTATTTGCACTTAAAAGTTGAAACTAGAAATATAACCAGATGTCTCTAAAGGAGAAAAACCTAGTCTTTAAATGCTTTGATGATGAGAAGCAAGTGATTCTCATAACATTAAATCAGTACAAAGAACAGAAAGTGTAAACAGTATCATCATCCCTTACGTTGGTTATGGCGGCTACTTTTTTAATAATATGGAGTTTTTCATCATGTTTTCCCACAGTACTGCCAGATGAGAGAGAATTTCAACATGCTGCTAAAATGAACAATTTGGATACCATGGAAAAGCTGTTTAAAAAGAATGTTAACATAAATGCTGTAGATACTGTGAGTATAAGGTGCCTGACAGATCACTGATGTGAAGGGTGACTCCTTGGGGTTGCATGGGGGAATGCCAGCATGTCCCCTCAGCTGCAGGAGTGAGGCTGCAGAAGTGCCCTCTAGGACTTGATGAAGAAATAATTTCATATAGCCATTATGGACACTGGAAGCTGTACAGCTTAACTCTCAGGTTTCGCAGTAGTCAGTGTATCACATTGGGAACAAAGGACATCTCAATTGTGCCCCTGCTCTAGTGTTTCCTGAGAGCTCTTTGGTGACTAATTCCTCAAGTTCTCCACCTTTCTCAGTGGGATGACTTCACCTCACAGTCACTTTAAGAGTGGATTCATGCTGCTAGCATTACAAATTTCTAGAAAGAAGTATTACTCTTTGGTTTGCATGGAACTGTGGGAGCATTCTACAACATTCTTTGGCTCCAGCCTGAGCTCAGAGTTCAGATTTACCCTAGATGTACGAAAATGCATTTCCTATTCTGACTTCAACACCAGGCCTTACATCCTTAAAAATGAGGATGTATACTTCACAGCAGCTAAATATAGCACTCTGTTCCACATGAGAGGTAGTTCAATAGGAACCAAGCAGTCATGATATTAATCTGGGAGTTTTCTGTAAGTGTCCTCTCAATGGCTACATATAAATCATCCACCCCTGAGTATCCAATGTTGCTTACTCTGGGTTCTGAAAAAAATTACCTCCCATGCTCGCATGCATTTTCACTCACTGGGGAATTTAGAAGATAGTATAGTGCATTCCTTGATTTGTTTATGAAACAAGGAGATAAACATTTCATCTGAGCACACTCCTCTTGAGTACTGAGATTATCAATTGCATTACACTCTAAAGGTCACTTTAAAATAGTTCTTTCTTCCTTCTTGCTTCCCAGAATTCAGGAAGTTAAACTAAATACATTTTCAGTTCAGTAGTTTAAAACTTTTCTCTGTCATCCTTAAATTAGATCTATAGTATGAGAGAGTTACTAGGAGGTGTTGTGCTTTGATTATCCTAGTAGGGATGTAGGTTATGCTGGCAAAGCCATTAGTTTTGTTAATGTTGATCATTCCTGCCCCTTTACTCTTAGGCCAAATAAGGAAGGCTGTCAAAAGACGAGTTTTTGGATAGTGCTCTTTCTATATTACAAGAGGCTTTTTTCTGACATAAATACATGTCATAAATCCTACTTTTTCATTCTTTTTGATGCATGTGATTTGTGAATTTAAATTTTTACAAGTCAGGTGATCTTCAGAGAAGCTAAGAAAGCAAATTCAAACTGACTTTTAAAATTAGTTGATTAAATCTCCTAGACATCTTTGTATGGAAGCTATTAGTCACTAATGTTAAACCCAGTTATGCCTACTTTAACTGAAAGCAAAACTCTCTCCAGTAAAATTTGATTCAATTTAACAAATCCCTTTAAAATATATACCACTATATGTATACCACTATGTATATACCACTATATTACTTTATGGAAGTCTTCTTGAGGAGCACTGAGCCCATTCACCTCTGTAAAATTACTCTTTGCAAGGTGGTAGCTTTCATTTACGTAGATGATGACTCAGTATGGGAAGGTGACTAACACTGAGTGAGGGAGAAATCTTGGCTTGCATTGCAGAGGTTTAGTCAAAAGCAAGGAGGATACCAAAAGCAAGTCTATCTACATATAGACCTCAGCTATTCAAACTACACCATGCAATAAAATAATAAACAAGGATGCTTCTTGTACTGCATGTACCTCCCCTATGCAGTGTTAATCCCATTTTGACATTTCAATGAAAGGACAATACTAAGTAGACTAAGAAAATCATTCTGTTTTTACAAGAATTCTCTAAGATCAACATCTAAATTCTATCGAAGGAAAAAAACCAAAATATATAGATAAAGTTCAAGTGTGACTGTTAAAGGAGAAATATGAAATAATGTATATTATCAGGTACATTTGGTAACAATCAGAGAATTCCAAAATCTTGACCATCTGTGCAGGGAAAGACCTGTATTAGAGACCTGACAAACAAAGCTTTGTTTATTCCAGCTGAAGCGCACAGCATTCCATTTTGCCGTTGCGGGAGGCCATGTGTCGGTGGTGGATTTTCTTCTTCATCACAAAGCTAGACTTGACATGGCAGATCAGGTAAGCTGGCTTACTTGTTTTGATTCACATATGTAGGAACTCCTTTGAATAAAAGCAGATCATTTTCTTGTACTCCCAATTATGCAAAAATTAAGAGCTTGCAGTAAAAACCTGGTTTGTCTTAGAACTACACATATTTGTACAAAACCAGCATTTTTAGAGGAAAAACACAATGCCTAAAGTATTGGAAACTTGAATACCTGAATGAGCACAAGGCACCTCCCTTGGCCAGGTCAAGGTTTTCCTGGATGGCAGCACACCAATACAGTCTATCAGCCATTCATCCCAGTTTAATGTGAAGTTTGCTGCGGGTACATTCTGCCCATCATTCAGGTCATTAATGCAGATGTTAGATAGCATTCCCAGGATGGATGCCTAGTGGCTGGCCTCCAGCTGTTCATAGCTTGGAAGGTTCTTCAGGGCAGACTTTTAGGCCACAGCCACAAATTTTGCTGAAGCTTAGATTTATCTTATTGCCTGCATACCAGGTACATATTCCATATTACCTTCCACTGTTTTCTATTGTAATTTTTTGAAATACGGGAAAGACTGGTAAAGTGGAGTGAGTCCCATGCAGAGACTCTAGAATGATTAGAAGTGTAGAACAGGGTATATCAGGAGGTGTCCAGCCTAAGCTTCCCCTTATACAACTCCATGCCGTTTTCTCTGGTCCTGCCAGGTCAATGCCTGCCCCTTCTCTTCCCCTCACAAGGAGGTTATAAATGCAGTGAGGGCTCCCCTCTGTCTCCTGCAGGCTGAACAGACCAAGTGACCTCATTTGCTTCTCATATGGTTTCTCTTCAAGTCCTTCACCATCTTTGTGTTCCTCCTTTGGACACACTCTACTATCTTTATATGCCTGTATTGTGGCACCCAAAACTGTCCCCAGTACTTGAGATAAGGTCACAGCAGCCCAGAGTTGAGCTAGTCCTTTTGTTTTTAAGATGTTCAAAACAGGGTTCATTTTTTTCCTATAAGAGAAAACGGTTTTAGAGAATTTGAGAGGTGAGAGCATTAGAAAGAGGTCTAAATGGAAAATTATGGTGACTCATGGGGGTACAGTCATTGCATATTGTCATTTGAAATGTCATCCACTGCACCCAAGACTATCTATCTGCATGGTTTCTGGAGAGAGAAAATAATTTCCAGGTAGGACTTAATCCCGCTGTCATAAAATGGGATCAGTCCTTTCCTAGAGTTGCTAGACCTTCTGTGAAGAAGTCAAACATTTATCTAGGTCTTGCTCTATTGCATTTAGCTTAATTTAAATGAGATGAATCCCACCCACAGTCAGGTGTTCATATTACTTTTCTAAAAGCCTACAGATTGGAACCCATTAATACACTGAATCAATCAAAAAGATTTAAAGAAATTTGGCTTGAGGTATTTTGGTGGTAATTTCTGCCTTTGTCATTTTATTTGAAGCATGGCCTGACAGTGATTCATCTTGCAGCCTGGACTGGAAATCTGGATATAATACGAAAACTAGTTAAAGCAGGTGCTGATCAAAAAGCTAAAAATGAGGTTTGTTGGGGAAAAATTTTTATCAACCCGAAACATGTTTATGTTGGGAAAAAATAAACATTCTTACAGATTGACTTACCATTTTTCAGGAAGGAATGAACGTACTGCATTTTGCAGCTCAGAGCAACAGCATTAAAATAGTTGATTATTTCCTCCAAGATCTTCATCTGAATGACTTGAACAAACCTGATGGGGTACAGTGTGTTTCTGTTTATTTCTTTGATGTTTTGGGGAAAACAATCTTGACTGGGGGAATTTCAATGAATTTTAGTTTATTGACAGTTACATATACTTTTAATGACTGACTTCATACTGAGAAACAGGTAAAAGAAACAGCCAGACGAGACCTTATGGGGGCAACACCTTTCCTCCCTCTTTGCCTGTTTCAGTTGGACTGCAGACACCCTCTGCTGTCCTTGCTTTTGCTGCATGTGACTCTCAGTCGTGGTGAGGCAATGGAAGGCAGAGGAGGTTGGATTCAGTCCCCAGTTGATTCCCTTTTTTTCTACCTTTTGCTTCTCACTATTCTCCTCTGCTCCAGAAAGTTTCTTGCATGGGCTGCAGTCACCTGGGGGTATAGCTTCTTCTGTGTCTCCTCCCTTGCATCTTCTTGTGTCTCCTGTTGCATCTCCCCTGGTGCATCCTTCCCACATTTTCATAGAGGCATTGTTTGGTTCCATGGTGGGTTAAGTGTTGGCACGTTGTGGGGCAGTTTGGTCCACTGTGGAACCAGCTGGAAATGTCTGTGACCAGCAAAGGGCAGCCTCTGTAATTTCTCACACAGCTCATCTTCACAGACTCCTGCCCTTACGAAAACATGCCAGTTATGGCCAACATGGCCATGTTTCATCAATGTAGAACATAGAACTCTGTGCAGTTATCCTACACAGGGGCACTGACTCTCCAACAGTGCCTTGTCCTCATCAGGTTTTCTGTGTTTTTAATTTCCACAGTGTTGGGATCTTGTTTTGAAATGCTATGTAGATAAGTCAGATATGTTAGCGTTACATGAGGAAAACTTATTCCTTTGAGATCTGACATCCAAAGTACAAATCTTCCCCCTTTTTTTTTCCTCTGAGTTTCTTGAATTTTATTGACCCAAGGGTGCAAATTCTGAATAAGTCTGACAAAACAGAGTTAATTTAACAAAACATACCTTTGAAGGTTTAGGCCCCGGGAGAGGAAAGGTGAGGAAGGAGCTCAATGACCTGTTGAGGCTGCATCATAATTCTCTACTTGGTGCATGCATTTTTTCTAGACATTTTTATAGGCACTACCAGACATGATATGAAGCCATTTTACCTAGCTGGTTACATGCCTACTGTCTTGAACAGAGTCAAGATTTTTAGGTTTTGTGTCAAGATAACTTTCTGCAGTTGAGTTTGTAAGTAGTTTGAAAACTTCTTGTTAGTTTCAACACTACAAAAATCCCCTGCAATGTACAGTGTTAAATTCGGGCCCCCTGGATGAAACTTCTGAGATACGTTAGTTTTGGTCTCTGTTTCAAGAATTTGGATCAAACAAATTCACCCATGGAAATAAATTTTGCAATTTCTTTGCTGTCTGTTTCTGAGCATCCTCAGACTTTTAATGACACAGTTATTTTAATTAATATTTTCATACTGACAAAAAGTAAGATTAAAATATTTTGAGTGTGTTTTCCACTTTTTCACCATTTCTAAACGGTTTTTATATATTTTATTCAGGATATGAAAGATGTATGATCTGTTTGTATACACTAAGTGTAATTTTAATTACTGTTCTTCTATGTATCTACTCTTGTGTTAATCTCCTTAGTCATATGATATGTAAATTTTTATGTAGGATACACATATACATATGCATGCCATATATCTAGTAACTAGAAATAAAGTATTTCTACTTTTAACACTGTGTTTCTTTCCGTAATTGTTTTCTAGAAAGGTAAAAAGCCATTTCTTCTGGCCTCTGAAAAAGGCCATGTTGACATGATAAAAACTTTTATTGCTCTGAAGCTATTTACATCTGAAAAAGATGAGGTAAATGTTTCTTTTCCACAGATATACAACTACAAATGTGCTTATGAAAAATTATTTTGTTTCACTGTGATTATTATATATTCAAATATCTGTGTGTGCTGCACAGGTGTTACAGTAGTATAAGGGACCAACAAACATATTACGATTTTTTAGTGATAAAGGGAAGGCAGTGGGATGATTGCCAGGAGACTTTTCCGTACACATTCATAATTTATGCAAAGCAAGACTAGCATATGATGTCTGTTGAGAGAAGTGGGGAAGCCTGGTGATAAAGGTGTCAGCCTCTTCTGGGAGATCATATTTCTTAGTATTTCACTCTGTTTGTCTGTGTCTGTGTGCCACTGTGTGACCAATTTTTCAAAGGTGTTTAAAAGCTCCAGATGAAAATAAACACCTATAAATTCTTTTGCAGCAGTACCTTAACACTTCAATCTGATTGAGTTTGCTTTGAGACTGTATTTAAAGGTATCTTAGTAATTTTCAATGTCTGCTCTTAAATTTATTTTTCCTTGCTTTACTATTTTTGGAATGAGCAAGTTAGTATTTCTCTGCATCTGAGGCATTGTAAGGACAAATACATTAAAAATTGTGAATATGTCAGATACTGTATCTACAGAACCACATAAGTAAGCACTCAGGAAGTGATGTTGGATTTTTTGGTTTTCTGGTAATAGTTTAAAAGATGAAGTGCCCCCCAGAGCTCTGCTGTGCTAAGCAGTTTACCAGCAGAGGTTGAAAGAAAGTGTTGTCCCAGGTATCCAGCAGGTTAAATGTGTCGACAGCGTCAGGAGGTAAATGCTGTGGTCCTGCAAATTAGGTAAGGAGCCAGGATAGAAATTCATTTCCTGGGTCACTAAACCAAATCACACTGTAACCATAAAAGGTAAAAAGGATTCCCACATCTTCCCACTCAATGCTGTGAATGAAAAACTGTTCTGGACTCTCATTTTTATAAGAGTTAGGATTCTTCTAAAATTTTTAGTCATTTTTATACTATTTTGTATGCTTGCATTTTCATTTAGTTCAAAAGCTGCTGCTCTGCCTGAAGTTATTAGTTACTTTTTTTTGCTTGGTGGTGTGGTGTTTTTGTTTTGGTTTTGTTTCTGTTTTGTGCTTCTTAATTTCCTGGAAAGAAATTGCACTGATGGTGACAGAGATCAAAGATCATGATGTTGATATCAAAACCATGACAAACTTCTGTACTCTGACCTAGGGTTTTTTACTCTTTAAATCAGTGGTCTTGGGGGCTCAGTGTAGTACCCACCCTTGTGGGAACCAATACCTGAAGTTTTCTTCTGGTTCATTTGTTAGGAGTTAGAATTTCAGATCTTTTTGGTGGTATACACTAAAGTTTTCAGACAACTAACTAGATCAGACTAGATCAAAATTAGCCTGAATCTTGGCACATGCTGTATGCAGTTGCCTCCCTCTCCTTGTATGTAAGAAAGACTTGTAGGTAAAAGACCAAAAGCATTGTATTGGTTTTAGTTAATGTCTTTATTCTGCATTTTAAAATATATTATTTGACATTTTAATTTCAAGGAGGGAAACACAGCATTGCATTTAGCAGCCAAAAATGGTCACAGTGAAGTTGTGGAAATTCTGCTTGAACAATGGGAGGAAATAAATGACTTCAATCAGGTAAGTACACTAAGCTATTGAAAGAAATAAAGTTAGAGATTTGAAAAATTTTCTAAAAAAATCAAATTTGAAAGGAAGAGATGTGGCACTGAGGAGATTTCATTAGTCTTGCTGGTTTCCTAGTAACTTTGCATCCTGTTTCCTTGTTCTTTGTCCAATGAATTAACCTCCCTTAACCCCTTTGGTGTCTTCCTCTGTCCTTTATCCCTTAAGCAGGTCCTCCCCTGCATTTGGCAAGCTGTTGCATAACTGCTGGCAGAAGACAACAGAGGAAGGCCTTCCCCCTTGCTTTCTGTCATCCAGCATTTTTAGCCATATGATCCCATTCCTTGTAACATCTCACTTTTTCAGCCTATTCATTGAGCCAGTTTGACTTGGATACCAAGCACATACCATCACAGGCACCTCAGCAGAGGTAATTTGTATCTGGTCCGTCTGACCTCACTTGCACAAAACTGGCTGCAGACATTGCCTACCCAATTTGCTTTCCTGGTTTAGTGTTGGTGAGCTCAACCAGCATATTCATCAATTGTATATTAGCTGGGAAGATTGTATCCCTGAGTTAAGGCACTCTTGAGGTTCATTTTGAGGCTTAAACAAGGAGTGGAGGAAGGAAATGCACACTAACTGCTCCTCTCAGCGTTCTTTTGTTCTCTTCTGTTTCTTCTATGGGGCAGCTGGAACAACCTGGGCAAGGTAATATCCTTTGTTGTGGGCTGGAATGCCCACTGTGGGAATCTGCCATGTGGCTGATCATTTGTTCTGCTGGGCTAGGTGGCAAAATGAATCACTCCTACCCAAGGCCCTCCTCTTCCTTTATCAGTGACAGACTGATGAGTTGAGAAGTTCCCTCTTATCCAACTTGTCTGCTGTTTTCAGCTGTTGTGAGGCTCATGAGCCTCTTCAAAATGTGGAGCCCTTGTGTTTCCAAGGCTTGTCTAAGAATGTTGTTTCTGCACACAGATCTTGTGCTGCTTGTGCCCCTCTCTTGGCATGGCTAATGGTGTGACCTTGCCATCCAGCTGGAGATGTTGTGATCTGTGTACAAATAGATCTCTCTTCCTACAGCATGAGCAAAGTACTAAAATGTTTTAAGTTTACGAGAATAACATCAGGCTTTTAAACAAAGAAAAATTAGGATTTATTGATCCTTTTGTGATTGTTGAAACACCAGAGTAACTTTCATTAAACCTTTGTGTATTTTACACAAATGAATTGAGAAGCAGGAATTAGGTAATTGTGTAGCTGATATATCCCATTTTATAGACTTACTGTGGAGACGTGGAGACTCCTTCATTGTGAAAATATTTGAAATAAATCTGAAACAGGATTATTTCTGCTTAAAGTTCTCCTTATAGCTAGCACTTGGGGTTGTGAATTTGTCAGAAATCCATGGCATTGCACTGACAAAAATTGGAATTACTGTATGTACTAGCATACTAGTGATGTTTCCTAGTGTCGAATGGCAACAATTGCTGCTCACCAAAAAGAGCGTGATTAATATTTTTGAAATAGTTTTCTGTATTGTAAACCTTACTATACATCTGTACAGATAAACATCATCTGTCACTTAACTGCTGATGAGTAGCCATGTCATTCAAGAGTTGGATGAGCCTGATGGAGCCTACTGGAGGTGTTCTCAGTGTTGTAGTCACATCTCTTAAATTGGAACACACATTTTGTCTCTTTTGGTCTAGAATGGAGAAACTCCATTTTACTTGGCTGTTGAAGGAGGTCATGAAAAATGTGCTGAACTCTTACTGGAGGCAGGGAGTGAGATCAATGTTTCAACTCAAGTATGTACACAGTATCCCTCTTAGTGGGGCATACTAGACTGTGAAAAGGACCTTACTAGCAAAGGATATTTGCTCTGGGTGGTTTTTTTTTTTTTTTTTTTTTGTTTTGTTTTGTTTTGTTTTGTTTTGTTTTGTTTTGTTTTGTTTTGTTTTGTTTTGTTTTGTTTTGTTTTTTTAGTGAAACCAGTTAAAAAAATAGAACGAGGAATGTAGAGAGTACTAACAGAATAAAACCAATCTGGAAGTAAAATACCATTGGCTTTATTTGATGGAGTACTGTGGTGGAGCTTTTTATTTCCTGTATGCCCACTAGTACCACATGTGACTAGAAAATGTTACCAACAAGGATAACTGAAAATCCTCCTTTTTGGCAGTGTATGTGACTGATCTGATGACAAACTTGTTCTCTATGTGTGATTCCTGAACTGCAGTCCAACTCATATCTGCTGAATGGCCTTGGCTAGCCTGCTGCAAGAAGTTTATGATTCCAGCAGAATGAGAACTTGTTTGTTTAAGCAGAACTATTTTGTAAAAATTAGTTTTTAAATTTTATTTTCTATTAATTCATTTTTCTATTGATTTATTAACTATTCTATGGATTTACTGGTTGATGTGGCCATACTTGCTTGGTAAGGGTCTAACAGAATAACTAACAGAATAGGAGACATGTTGGCACTGTTGTTGTCCGTGGCATAGTATAGATGATGATGCTGATCTGTCTCTTTTCTAAGAGAAGTTGGATGGGGCCATAGGATACATGTGTTCTTTAGTATGTTTGTTGTGATATAGCAAAAATGAGAATTTCCTTCACTGCTGACAAAAACATCATGCCAGCTGCTGATGTGCTTCATTTTGTGTCATTTTGTCAAAAGATTTTATTGATGGAGGGGATAATAAGACAAATTTAAATGCAAGATTATCCTATATTTATACCTCTCTTTAATACTGGGGTTTTTTTTCAGAAATAAAAATGTAAGTTTTTCTGTCTATCAAATTTCTTTCAGAACAATAGCAGTGCTTTGCAGGTTGCAATTCAAAATGGACATCTATCCTTGGTTACTTTTCTTATTGATAAGAATATTGACCTGGTTCCTAAACCTGAGGTGAGTGTTTATCAGAATAACTCTTCTGCTGCTGCTCAGCCTGTCTTGTCTTTCTGTGGGAATTCAGACAGCTGAATGAGATTGAGTAGTTCCTTGAAGTTTTTCCTAGACACACTATTACTTGGTTTCTAGGTGTTGGTCACACCCAACACACAGACAAATAGAGACAGGATCCTCTTGCCAGCCCAGTGAGTGCCTGAGCGGCTGGTTCAGGGCAGAATAGACATGGCCAGGCTACGCCAAGGACCAGGCATGTGGAGAAGAAGAGCAAAGTGCACAGCTTGAACTTAGCAGTAGTAATGTCATAGGTAAGAGTCACATGATTTTGAATAAAGATAACTAAAATGTAAATAAACACTTCAGTGCTTTTACCCTCTGCAGGTAAATGAACCGTCAGTGCCTTCAAAATCTGCATGCCAACATTCTTTGTGATTTAAAAAGAAAGACATATTTATATTATCCAAATCCTCTCTCAGTTTAAATATTATGGATATTTGAGATTGTCTATGAACAGGAAATTATTTTCCACTTCTGCAGTACAGGATGAAAATAGAATCTGAGTTTCATGACTTATGCCATATCACTGGCCTCTTGCAGAAAGTTATCAAAGAATAACAATTTATGTTGTGCTTGAAATGATTTAAAGGTCAGGCAGTTGTCGTGCTGCTTGTTCTCCTTGGCTTTCTGTAGCAGAAGCAACTAAAAAAATTTTAACTTACATTTTGCAAATATTTCCATCATAATGTTGCATAAGAATTTGCTTTATTTTTCTGTAGCCCAGAAGGAATGGCTATGTTTTATAAAGACACTGAACTGGTGCCTGGCACCATGAATAATACTGGTATGGAATTATTCTTTAGTTGTATTTCACAAGAAACTGATCAGTCACAGGTCCAACATACAAAGTGATCTTACCAGCCTAGTGTGGATTTTGACTGGTATTGAATCTGTGCCCTGGTTATCCTAATAAATAATCACTCAAATAAAACCTCTGTCTTACTAATTGTAATTTGTCGTATTTTATAAATATGACAGTAAGTCACTTTAATATGAAGAGCATTTCCAGCAGCAACACATGACAAGAGTTGGTTCCTGGAAAGTAGATATCAGAATCAGTTTACTGAATACAGAATGAGTCTGTCTCCAGGCCGTTCAACAAAGGGCAAATCCACTTTTCTGAGGAAGCAGGAACATTATCCTGATCTCTCTGTTGTCAGGATAGCAGTACATCCCAGGCAGGAACACTTAAGAGCAGTGCCTTGCTGCATTGCTAAGTGGTGGCACACTGATACACACCCCATACACTCAGCATTTCCAGTTTTCTTCTGTTTACCTGCTTCTAGGTGGGAGCAGGCTACCACCTCTGGTATAACTCCACACATTCAGGTGTGTTTTCTGCAGTGTTGAGCCTCTGCTAGAGCATGCCGCCTTTGCAAGTGGTGGGCTTCAGTTAGAACCTCTTTCTTGTTCATAATATTCCCAAATATAATAATTTATTATTTTCCCTCCGCAGCAGAAGAATTCCCCTCTCCATTTAGCAGTTCTCAGTAATAACCTACTGGTAGTAAAAAGCCTTTTGGATGCCAATCACGAGATAAACTCCTTAAATCACGTAAGAAAAGCTGGGAATTTACACAGCTTTATTGGGAAAGGGGAGATTATGTGGGTTTTGCTTGAATTTTTTTTTCCTTATGAGCTCAGGGTACAAAAAAACAGAAAGGAAGAGGCAGTTCCCTCCTAATCTTTTTGTGTGTGTACATATGTATTAGTCACTGGTACATGCTGTGCTAATATTGTTTGAGCAAGATAAGGCTAGCACAATGCTGTATACTCAGAAAATGATTGGGTAATGTATTGTTCAAGTGTTATGTGTAATAAATGACAGAAATGCCTAATGGTATTGGTTTCAGAGGGAATCCCAGTGCAGAATGTCATTTGGCTGGAAAGAAGTTAATTTTTCCTTAAAGTAATCTACCATGTGCAGTGTTTTAGATCTGTGACCAAAACAGGGCTGGTAAGACAATGCTCTTAAAGCTTTGCTGAGCAATGCTTGCACAGCATCAAAGCCTTTTCTGTTTCATGCTCTGTGCCCACACCTTAATCAGCTGGGGTGCTCAGGGAGCTGGGAGGGGGCAGAGCTGAGCAGAGCCCAGCAACACAGCAACACCGAATGACAAGGTCACAGGTCTCTGTGATGCAATCAGTGAGCAGCTGTTAACTGAAAGGATGCTGGTTTGAGCCCATGCACGGACAGCTACACCTGTCTTCCTTACCTTAACCAGGATTCTTTCACCCTGCTTGGTGTCAGCGGTCCTTGGAGGCCTGGTTAGTTGTTGGCCAGTTGACTGTAAATCAGATCGCTGTGGATTAGATCCACCACTGATGTGTATCGTACTTTGGTGCTGTCATGCTTGATCCCTTCTTTGCTGTACAAAACCACCTGTAATTGTTAATGTCCATTTCTCCTTCTGCTATGTTGCATATCACTTTGTGTTGCTTTGCCTGGTAGACTGATGATAGAAGCACTGGCTTTGCCTGATCTGGTGGTTTTGGGCCTTACAATGCCACTCAGGTCTACTCAGGTGACCATCTCATGGAGAAAATCAACAATTACACCTTTTCATTTCCCTCCTTGGAGAGGCACTTTGTTGAAAGATAAAAGAATGGCATTTGCCCCTTCTTCTCCCCCATGACAGTCTCTCCCACCTTCTTGTAACACTACTCAGTTCCTTGAATATCCTTGCATAATCACACTCTTCATACTAGTTCATACTAGTGTGTGTTGTGAGCAGGTTTACATTATTGTGAGTAACAATTAACAACTAATCGGGAATGCCACACAGGGATTTGCACAGAGGAATCAATTCTCAGGTGGTATCATGTGAGAAAGGAAGTGGACAGGTACCTGAGGCTCTTACTGCCTCCAACAGTTTAGGATTTCATGCCTTTGCATGAATGTAGTCCCAAGTAATTAATACACCATCTGAATGAAGGAGGGGATCCTTGCCTGCCCTTATGAAACACAGGGATTTCCAGTGCTGTGTTGGGTCTGGCCCTTGCCTACTGAGCTGCCATCCAGTGCCCTCAAAAGGGAACAAGTGTTTCCTGATCAAAGAGCATCCAAAGGGACACTGAGAAGCTCTGAAGCCACCATAAGTGAAAACTCACTTAGTTGGAGGTGTCACACGTTTGTTTAACTGGAGACCCAGCCCTCAACTATAATATGTGCTTCAACTCAAGGAAAGATGGTTGAAATAGATGTTGATTTGGTTAGGAAGAGAAATAGCAGCTCCTGCTGTGGGGCAAAAGGGGGAAGACTCAAAAGAGGCAGCCTGGCCTGTAGCAGGACAGTAAAGGGAAAATACAAGAACGACAACAGAAGCAAAACTACCTGGTGTCCATCTCTGAATGATCTCTTAGGTAGGCAGCAAGTATTCATCTGTCAGCAAGGTGAACCCACCTGACTGCTCCAGTGTTGGGAAGATAGGGAAGCTCAGGGGAGTCCACTTCTAGGGACTAAGGGATTGACAAAGGGATCATAATAGAGGTAGCCACTCACAAGACTCTGAAGGTGGCTCTTACTGAGCATGAATGCAAAATGTCTCCTCAAAGATACTGCAAACCAGCAAGGCAAGTAAACTACCACAGAAGGTATCCAGTCTCTGAGGGAGTGGTAGTAGAGTGGACTACAGTGACCTGACAACAACTAGGTCTGCAGTTGATATCTGGAGTGATATCACTCCAGATATCTCAGTGATATCCAGTGCCCGTGGTTCATGTGGCAGAAGATTGTACAGAGCTCACATACACTGGCTCTTGAGCATGACAGACTCCAGTGGTCCAGCTGTGTACAGACAGCCCTAACACCTGTGGCACTTCAAGGAGAATCTCTCTTCCCCCTCCCCATCAGCCCTACAGATATCTCAGCCATCCATCTCAGTGGAAAGATTGTCCCAGCAGGCCTGTCAAGTACCATTTGGTGCACTGTGGCTCACTGCTGAGAAAATGCAGCCTGGTCTCCCTCATGACATGTGGAGGTGCTCCCCACAATAACAACAAGGATGAGTCTTTGAGAAATCAGTGGTTCACCCCTTCCCATTGTTCATTTATTGCTAGCGATTAATATATACACATTTTTGTGGAAGACAGAGGCTGTCATTTGTGGTTGGAGTGATGACAAGACTTTCTGGTCACATAAAACAGAGAATTCTGTAAATTTCTTCAACACATCTTTTAGAAATATCTTGCACTCTGTCTCTAGCATGCCAGAAGTTGCCTACAGTAGGTACTTATGTATCGCTAAATTTCTGCGGGAAAGAAAGTAGGCTATATGAATAAAAAAACCCTTTTTATTTATGGGAATAAAAAAGTAAGGTGAATACATGAGATTGTGTGATCATAGTGTAAACTGTAAAAATAAGTGATGAGACTTTTAATGTGGAACACTGAGCCTGGTGTTTCTTAGGGTGCGAACTATAATTAAGATCTAAAGGCCAAAGAAGTTCTCTGACCAGACCTACAGAATGTAAACTTGCAATGTCAGAGAAGCACAGGCACAAAACATTCAACTTAGAAGGATAATGTGTCCCAAGAAACATACTAAGGAACATTGCCATATATGCAGGGCTTCCCCAATTACACCATTATTTGCTGCTGCGTTTCACCCACAGATGTCTGAATTTTCTTACTGTAATTTCTGTAAAAAATAAATAAATACATGTTGGGGTATATATAGCTATGTAGAGACTATACCCTCCTTTCAGACTCAAAGATTTACTTGAAGGTGAATGCAATTTTGGCTGTATTTCTTGTTAATGATTTGGCCTTGTTTAATGATTTTATTTTGGGGTTTTTTATATGTGTGTTGTTTAAGGTTCACTGAACCCATTATGGAGCAGGTAGATTTCTGCTGTATATCATAATTTAGTGGCAGGGCTGACTAAAAAGTTCTATTGTGGACGCGGCATAATGTACTGTTGAGAACTGTGGCTATCCAGTTTTCTTGGCATGAATTTCAGCAGGGAAAAGGTTACTTGAGAGGATGATATGGGTGTGGGTTGCCAGACACATGAAGCCCTCTGTCCAAAGTACCTTGCTTTAAGAGGGAAGAGAAAGACTCAGCTTGTTAGTTTACAGTACATTAGAGAGGCATAACAGCAACCCTTTCCTGAGCCAGCTGGAACTTCTGCCTGGTTTTCCTGCAGAGATCCCATATGCTGTCTTGTCTGCCTGAAACAAAACCGGCAGATCATGCAGAAGTTAAATGATTTCCCTCTGCTCAGTATTTTCTCACCAAGGTCACCCCTCTTGTTGTGAATCTATTTTAGATTCAGCCCATGAGCATGCTACTTTTAGGAGAAAGTTTGACTCAATGCACTTTTTTGGTGTCTTCAATTCCAGAGGCAGGAAACCCCTCTACATCTGGCAGCTGATCTTGGCAATGTGGAGTTGGTGGAAGTGCTGCTGAAGTCAGGCTGCAATCTCAAGACCATGGATAAGGTAAATTGCATTCCTCACACATGTAAGGATTACATGATTTTATTTTTTGTTCTATAATCTTCCTTACACAGGTGGATAAAGCACATATTGCGAATTTTGTTTGCTAAGTAAAGCTAACTACAAAGGAAGTCTTAATATTGCTATACCTGCAGCTTGTAGAGATCTGATGGTTTTGGTGAAGAGCTGTAAAGCTCCCAGGCTCTGTGGTTTGAAGGACAAACACTGCCAGTGTTGTAGTGTGTTTATACTTTTTAATGGTTTTGCTTTTGTATCTCCTTATTTTGCCCAAATGGTTTACTTCTGATTGTACCCCCTCCCTCTACCTCTGTATTCCCCCTCCTTTGTTGAGATCATCCCCAAATCCCCACTCTGGCTCTCTGTTAGTCACTCAGCATCCCATCCTTTCTCTCTAGAACTTTCGGTCCAGGTCATTGAGTGAATAGTCAGAGACCAGGGGTCAACCCCCCAAGTGCTACCTGATACGCTTCCCAAATGTCCCTTCCCTAAGTTTTCACCCCTGAAGTTTCTTTATTGGCCAGCAAATTTATCTGCTTTTTTGGTTTACACTTCTCTTTAAATGTAACCTTGGCACCTCTCCTGGACCCTCTGAGCAGGAGGCCCCCTGAGGTGTGGGAGCATCCATGAGCTCCAAATAAAACCTTGGATTAACCCCTGCTAAGAGTCAGCCCTTTTATCCTCTGGCGATGTCTCCAGTGTCTCCTGTGCTGCAAAGTGACTAGCCTAGCTGCCCTCAGTACCCTCGGGGCACCAGAGAGTGTCCCCCACTGTCGGCCATGTCGGGGCTGCCCCCCCGCTGTCTGCCGAGCCGGGGCTCCCAGGGAGACAGAGACATTCCAGCAATTTTTCATGGAAAATATGGCTTGCAGAGGGGAAAATGGCTTGTGGCTCCTTGTAACTGTGTATCTGCAGCCAGGCTCAGTGCCCGGAGAGATGCAGCTTTACAGGTGCAGTGATGGAGAGTTTGCCCTTTATCACTCCAGGTCATCTGAGAATCATGTTGATATTCCAGATCCATTCAGATGGATACTTAAACCCTGAGATGATGTTCTGCCTGAAAAATAGAAACAAAAATGGTAATGGCTGGAAGAAGTACCAAAGTAAAGTTACAGGGGAAGTGCTTTTGAAAGGACAGAGTACCAAACCCAGTATTTACATATTTTGCTAAATTACTGCAAGATTGAGTATTCCCTTTTACAGTGTTACCACTTGATATTCTGTATGAGTTGAAGGATTTGATGTTTATTATGAGCAAAATCTTGCCTTTTTGTAACTTTAAAAAGTAACTTTCCTGCACAAAACTGTCCTGATGAGAAATGAAGCTTTGCAGACTAGAATTGTCTTGTTTTGACCTAGCCTGATATGAGGCGTGGGGCTCTGAGTGTGGGTTGCATGGTTGGTATGTTTTTGGGATGCTGAGGTAAGATGCTGCATTGTAGTTAAGCCTTTCCATTTAGAATCACACCTACACTTGCCAAAGGGCTGCAGTTCTTGTAGTGTAGCCACAGCTCTCTTCACAGAGAGCAGACAGGCACAACTTCCCACGGGTATTTCCTGGGAATTGCAGTGAGGAACCTTAGAGAAATTCTTATCTGTGCTCGCTGCTCCTGTTGTTTTGCACATGTGGAATGTGTTAGGAAGATTGTTTACTTGAAGGGATTTGTCAGTTGGATTCTGCTGAGGATTGTTTTGATCCCTTGGCCAATCACTCAAAGCTGTGAACTGGCTGTCTCAGACAGTCACAGATTTTTCTTTAGTATTTTTTTAGTACCTCTTTAGTATAGTTATAATATAGTATTAATGTAATACAGTGTAGTTCTAATAAAGCAATTGTTCAGCCTTCTGAATCAATGGAGTCAGACGCCAATCATTCACCAAGCTGGGGTCGTCCTGCATACAATATTGTAGGGATAAACCCAGAATGAAATCTTGTCCACTTTAAACAACACCTTTGCTACTGGGAATTGTTTTCAACATACTCATATTCCAAAGGCAGACACAAAAAATTACTTATTGCCTATGACCTTAAGCACCTGCAAGTCTTTGGGCGAGGCAGTGCCCTTGTATTACAGCAACACTGATAGAGCTGTTTATGAGAATTTGTCTCTGAAACAGTAGAAGTTCTGGTACAGGTCACCTTTCTGCATTCTGTTTTATTTCTTGGAGTAGCTTTTTCCCTGCCTATTTGCTGGATGGCCCCTGAGACCATGCCACTGCTGGGAACATATGCAAGTACAGCACCCTTTGAACTGAATTGGTGCTGAGATGCCAAAGTTGTTACTGTCCTTGCTGAACAGTAGACAGGAAGAAAGGGAGCCTGCTTTGATTGCACAGTATTTTTCTGGCCTCCAAGCCCTGGCAGCAGTACTCAGTCTCTAGAGAATGCCATGCATCTGCTCCTGTCAGAGGTCAGGAAATGCACTCCGTCTGTTGTTGTGAGTGCAGAGCTCCCCATGTGCAGACTGCTGTGCTGCATGTGCATGCAGAATGCCAGCAGTGTCTACACTAGCACAGGGTTACAGAAATACCCCCCTTATCCACTGCATCTCTCTTCCTCTGTGAAATGCAAAGCACCTCTCCAGACCAGAGCCCAAGGAGTTCTTGTGGTCTCTGGACTCTTCACATATAAAACATGCCTATGCCTAAAAGATTTAATGAAATGTATGTTCATGGCTTTCAATGTGATGCTCTTCTAAAAACAGGTTAATTAGAATGATCTTGAGCACAGCCAGGAGCTAGAACTCAAAAGGTATATATTAGGGAACTTTATACTATCTGAAGAACTGAAATACCTTATAATTTAATTAATGAACCTTCTAATTAAGGGATTGGCTTCTTTTAGATCTAGTTTTCTAGTAATGCCTAGCACTTGTTATGTGGAGAATAATCATAATATTTAAATCCAGGCAGTTGCACTCAGTGCAGATCTGCTGAAAATAGACAATTGCAGAGAAATCCTTTTAGAGCCACCATGATGCCTGTGCATCTAAGTGCTGATAGGAGAGATGGGTTCAGGTAGACTGAGCAAACCTCTGCAGCTGGTGTTGCAGCAATGGCTTTGAGCAACTGTGGCTCCTTCCTATACCCATGAAGCATCATCCTGCAGTTGTGCTCCTTTCAGGTCTAATGAAAAAGTAATTTTCTTTTTATTCTGTGAGCCAGCTTACCATCTAAAACAAGGCACAGTTTGCCTTTTAAGTTGGAGATTTCCAACTTTGCTAGCCTATCCATCTGAAATGCCAGTTTAACCATAGCATGGGAATTTACTGTATTTGTGGTAGCTTGAATGTGGACGCAGTGACTGGAGCTGCAAGCTAATATGAAGTATTCAAGTTTGAGTGCATGTTTCTGAAAGCAGCAGTACCTCATCAGAATTTTTTACTGGGGAGTTTAGTATGTGAGAAAACTGACCACCTCTGAGCTGAGGTGATACAGCTTATGCAGAGCATAGGACTTTGATTGCAGCTACCCAAAAGCCATGAAAAAGGGATGGGTTCTGTAAACAGTCCCTGTGTTTTTCTTCTATGACACACCCAGGATAATGTTCTGATTCACTGTCTCTGCTTGCAGCATGGGAAAAATGCACTAGCCACAGCATCAAGGAGCCATCATGCCCTCATTGTAGATATGATCATTAAAGCAGAAAGGTATTTTGCCATGAAACAGGTAAGAGTCATCTTTCATTAGACACAAGATACCTAAGGGAAAAGCCACTTCTGATTTTGAGATGCCTTTTGGCTGAGGTGGTTCCTTTTGGCAGGCAGTAAGACTGGCCTTGATGAACAAAAGTTAGGACTGGGAAATGGGAATGGGAAAGCCCATCCAGGCTTTATTCCTGACTAGCTGTAAAACTGTAAGCAGATCTTAGCAAGAGCTCAGCTACTTCAACAGAAACTCCCTCTTCTGTCCCTTGTGTGTTTATTATAAAATTAAAGCAATGAGAAGGAAAAGAACTTCACAATAAGTGAGAAGGACATAGCTTAGGTTGTCTGAATTTCTCACCTTCTTTCCCTTGTTACTTAAAGTACACTGCATAGTGATGGGCTACTCTAATGGGCTAGCAGTAACTGCCATATCGATACGTGATTTTGTTCTCACTCCTGCTTCCTGCTGAGTTAGCCAAGTGTATCAGCATACAGATCCTGTCTCAGTGCACGTACAAGATTAGCTGGTTTTATCACCCCACTCCTGTCCTGAGTGGCCAAATCCATGACACTAATGTTACAGGGCTGGTAAGTCACAGATCTAGATTAATTATTGCAAAAAACGCCTCCATGAACACTCTGTATTGAGCATTTGATTTGCACCAGTTCAGCTGGAATTGTCAGGTACTGTTACTTTTCCCCATTACTGTTTCTTTTGCTTCAAAGAGGAATTAGAAGCAGTCTGTTGCCACAGAAGACATAACAAGTCTGACAGCAGTAAGCCCATAATATTCTCAACATTTTGGCATTGTTCACTGAACATTGTTCACTTTTCTGAAGAAAAGGTGTTAATCAGATGCCTTTTTGCACAAGCACCAGAGATGTTGGGAAATACAAACGTAAGTGTTTGTATCCTGTTGCCTGAAGCTGAGAGTGCAGCCTTTGGAACAGCTTAAATCTTACGGCTATGGAATATGATGCTGGTGGCGTTACCATACTGGAACTACAGCATTTTGAAACATTATTTTAAGGATTGTCTTTTAGTTACATTCAGCTGACTTGTCATTTGTGACAAAGCATTAATTACAAAAGGAAATATCATGTAGCTGAGAGGAAGGGCACATGATACTAAAGTCTGACTGTCATCTCTGTTTGCCCTCTTCTCTATTTATCACTTCTACACAACCCTTCCCTATCACTGTCTAGGCTGGGTTTAACTGGATTTGAGGGCAGCTGTTACTGTCCCACCTTGCTGTTGCCTCAAAATACAGCAGCAAAGGGAAGCTGTGCTACTGTAAAGAGGTTTTTTTTTTTTTTGCTTGAGTTTTTTTTTCCGGTGGCTTTTTTTTTTTTTTTTTTTTTTAATTAAACATCATAAGCAACTGATCTAATCAGAGAGACCCTGAAGCTGTCCTGCTGGATGTTCAAACTTTACCTTGCATGTGTTAAGAAGCATGAAATAAAGTCTGCATCAGATGAACAGAACCAAAAATGCGGTGCTTAGTTACTGAACTGTGACTTTTTTTCTCTAAGTCCCTTGTAAGGCTAGGAAATAACCCTGCTGTATTTTTCTGAATTTAATTTGGAATGAAGCACTTTATGCTTAGTATTTTTAAAATGTGGCCTACTGCTGTTTCCTTTTTTGCTTAGTAGCTACTTTGTCATCCTCTATCAAATTTGTAAAGGAATTTTTTCCCTTTGAAGATTTATTTGAAACAGGACTAATACATAAATGTAATGAAATACAGAAATATCTGGAGCTTAACTACTTAGGAATGTTCCTGGGCACAGCTTAGCTAGAACTGAAATCACTTGACATGGTTTTTGCCAAGGTGCTCAAACAAGAGGTAACCCCATCACTCCTGTTCCAGGTGATCCATGCATACAGTAGGAACATCACTTTTAATTGGGAGGGTAAAATCCATGTGATTTTGGTTTCTGTCTGATTTTACTTATGCAAGAATGAAACTAGATCCATGCTCAACACACATGTGCCCACTGGTGTTTAGACACTTTGCTGAATGTTAAACCTAATGTTAAACCCTGTGTTAAACCTAATGGCTGATGGTACCAGCAAAGGATCTGGAAGTCCCCACTTCAGCCAAGTGAAGCTGACAGGGCAGAGGCAGGAACAGGTTGAGCAGGCGCTGTGCCCATGGTGCCTACCCTCTCCCCAGGGAAAGATTAGTGCTTTGAGAAGCAAGAGAAAGGGTTAAGAATTGTGCCTGAAACTCAGCTGTGTTCTAAACATGACACAGACAGAACCAAGCAGCACAGCAGTGCTGACACAACAGTTGCTGTTACTTTGCTTTTGTGTATCAAGTACCAGAGAAAGTGGCTTATTTTGCAATTAATTTAGTAATACATACAACAAACACTGGAACTCTTTGTTTCAGTTCTGTTTCTATGGGCAATACACAGTTCCTTTACAGGCACTGAGTAAAGCATCTGTCAGCAGATACATCTGTACAGGACCTCACGGAGCAAAGGTTCCCAGCTCTGTTACGCAATTTATCATCTGCTTTCTTTTTTAGACACATCTAGCTCATGGTGGTAATGGGTCAGACTTCAATGTGTCCTTCAAACAAGATCACAGCACACAGACCAAGCAAATCCGTTCCTCCCTTTGGAATCTAGCATACAACCAGTTAAAACCCTACGAGTGGAGAAAACTGGCTTTGTTCTGGAAGTTCACAGATGAACAAATTAAAGCTATTGAAGAACAGTGGACAGGTAACAATATCTGAGTGGCCAGACACAATATATAGGATAAAAAGCCCTCACAAGGAAGTGTTGCTTTTTAAACTATCTGACTATCCCATAGTGAAGGGGTACCAGCCTTGTCCCTGGTTCCTGGGAAGCAGTGCTGTAGCAGTACAGGACATTCTGCTCTCCCTCTTGGCCTGAAGAAACCTTCCTCTTTGGAGATCACACCTAGAAGCCATGAGCATCATAGAAAGTTCTTGGGGGTCGTGCTGCAAGTGAGGACCTGGGGAACCTCATGACACAAAGAAATTCTGCTCATGTGCTGTCTGCACAGCTGCCATGAAACACGAGTTCCTGGTTTCAGGCCTCTTAAGTGGTGGGAAGACAGTACTTCTGCAGCACATACTGTACTTATTACTACTACTCCAGGGTGTATTGCCACAGCTTGGGGAAAAATGAAAGGAAAATTTAATTTTAAGATGTATTAGGTGTTTTTTATGTCTTAACAGTAGTGTTAGGATAAAATTAGATTTTTTTTTAAACTTTTGTAAGCTTCAGTCTTCATTTTTCTTCTAGATGAAAAATGTAGTTAAGAGTAAGGAGTAATTTTAAAACCTCTTGGAACTTTTAAAGTGCAAAAGCACACTGTTTCCAACATATTGAACAAATACTCTATGTATTGCATAGGGAAAAAAAGTTACAAGGAGCACGGGAATAGGATGTTGCTCATCTGGTTACATGGTACATTGCTGGCTCATCAGAATCCTGTTAAACATCTATATGAAGATCTGGTGGAAGCAGGACTTCAGCCTTTAGCTGGTAAGTTGATACAGAGCACATTACAGTGTCACCTACGAGACTGCAGCACCATGCTGAGGTCCCTGCTGGTGCTGGGAAGCTGTGGCCAGGGCAGGGGTGGAGGACACGTTCTTCTTTTCTGGGACTGCCCTCCCTGAGGGGTGAGGCTGCTTGAGAAAAAGCATTTATGTCAGAATTAAGGCTTCTAAAGGAAGATGTGCAAACTTTGCTTCCCTCATCTGTACACACACTTAAATTGTGACTGGCCATCCTTCAGTTAGTCTGACCTTGTGCAAAGCAAAGCACACCAATCAAGTGTTTTCTTTTACTTTACAGAGAAGATCAGAGCTTCAATTAGCATTGGCATGGACTCCAGGAAATGTGTCATTTCATGAGTTCATCAGCAAAACATGGCATATATGATGGAATTACATGCCAGAAGGAAAGTGGCTTTCAAATATCTTTTTGGGAAACAAAACCCATTTTTTGAAGTTGTACAACTTTTTCCACCCTAGAACTTGCATTCCTGAAATGGTTACTTTTTTCTCAAATGCTTGCTAAACAGAAATGTAAAAAATTTAAGAATGAATGGCTGAGTGGTAGCTTATAACTGCTAAGCAAGATTCACCACTTACAATTTCTACATCTGACCTAACACTGATAAAGCTATTCTGTATTGGAACTGCAAAATAAACTACTCTATGTTTGATATGAAATGTAAATAAGATGTTTTCTACATGAAAAAAAATTAAATTTAGTTAAGTGAAAGTTATGTGTATAAATCAATTAACACTTGGCAAATAAGTTGGCATCTGGCCTTACTTGGGATTCAGGTTTTATAAAGTCTTGCTAGGATTATGACAAGTCTTTCTACTGCAACATTTGATTTATGTAGTGAAGAAACAAAAATGTCATATGTAAATACCACATGTGGCTGGCTGCAGAATGTTCTATCATGGCATAACACTGTATACATACCCTCAAAAAAGCATTTGATATTTAATACTTCACACATCTAGCAATTATTTACTTATTTATATCTTGAATTAATACTTGGCAGTATCCTGCTGACTATGTTTAAAGGCTTATTACTGAGTATGTTTAATATCTGAAAAATTATGTAAATGTCTATCTTAGTGATCTTCTTTATAACACAGAAATAGTTTTATATAGTATGATGTAGGAATTGAATTGCCTTTTCTGTTTGCATATGGCTAGTATTATTTTGAGCTGAATCCTACTGTTTGTACTAAAAAGTCATCTGTATCTTAGTCTGAAGTCTTATTCCAAACTGCCCTCCTGTTTGCATGCTTCTTTGACTCTGCTGCAGAGCATTCCAGGAATATGAAGAACAGACCAGTAAATCATAAAGTTTTGGAATTAGGGAGCTAAAGTACAAATGCTTGGAAACCTACAGTATTCATCAAGTTCTACAACATTAGCTTGCAAAATGAAAATGTTTAAGAATTTGATGGACTGGGCACCTCACCTAGCTTAAACTGGACCCTGGGTGAGGAGGATGCTACCCTGCTGTTCTCCATTTAAATAGAGTGTTGCAGGATATAATTAAAGTTCAAGCCAGCTATACTTACATGCATAAAAAACTAAAAGTAAGAAAAAAAAATTAATTTTCTCTTGAACACAGATGTTAGTATCATTGGGATTAAACAAGAGATTCAGACAAAAATCACATTGTATCCTTTATTTAAAAAGTGTGCTAAAGATTCCTTAAATAGAAAGTATTTGTCCTAATAATAAAAGTTTGGAGGTAGAAAAACAGTTCAAGTCCTTTTTTCTCCTCCAGGTTTTATTATAAAAGCACTTTTACTTAAAAAACCTTCTTTTTTTAGAAAAGGGTAAAAACATGATATGTACTTTAGGCCTTACTGCATCGAATCTGAAAAGACTGGGAAGTGGTACCTTGATTAAAAACCCCTACTGGTGAGAAAGATAGTCAGTCAACAACTTTTATTGACTGAACACTGGTATGAGTTTGGCTCTGAAGCACTCGCCCAGCTTGTCCTGCAGGTCTCGAAGTGGTAGAGCCAGAAGAATGAAGCACAGTTCGAGGATACTTAGCAGCAGTGGCTTGTGATATGGTTTGCTGAAAAGTAATCAGATACATCAAAACACTTAATGACATAAAAAATCACATTAAAATAGCTCTTGGTGAGCTGTTGTTTAAAAAGAAAGACCTGCAACCTAGCAAACTGAAATACACTTATCAAGAAGGAAAAAATAAATGGTCATTTAACAGAAAGAGTAAGTTTTTTTTCCTTTCTTATCTGTAATAGAGTTTTAGAATACAAAGTGCTAAACTTCCAGTTACCTAAGTATTTTGGGCTTTTATCACCTCAGTCTTATTTCAAGGTTGGTTTGTTTTAGTTTTTTACTATACTGTTCACAATTTTCCCCTGTAGTGCTAATTTAATCATGCCAACTTTCCTTTTGAAGTATTTGCTATGAGGCAGTCCCTGAAAAATCTTTGAAAATAAAAGATTTGCAATTTTATCAAGAATTAATTTTCTGCCCATAAAACCAGCCACCTTAGTGTAATAAACAGTATTCATTCTGCTTTTAATCAAGGTAAACTCTCTTCCCTCTCAAATTAACTCAAGACAAATACTTGACTTAAGATTTTTATTTGCTGAATGGGTATACAGAATGTATCTCCAGGGCTTTCACAGTTATTACATTTTCAGAAGTCAGCTTTTGTTACAGTAGTTCAGGTGCTTTCCTTGTCATACTAGTCACAAAATCTGAAGCCAGAAACTGTTCTTCATGAAATAATTACCACACTGAATCTCTAAACTCCTAAGAACATAAAATTTAAATATTAATTTCTGCTTAGGAACCCAATTCTTGAAAGCAGCAAGAATTGCTGCTATGGCTGTGAGTCATAGCAGGAAATGGGGGCCTTTTCTGCTTTTGGTACTGCCGTGATGGTGAGGAGATTGAGGGTGCTTGGGAAGTTGGGAACAGACAACGAGGACAGGTGACCCAAAGTGACCAAAGGGATATTCCAGACCATGTGGCACCAAGCTTAGTGTAGAAAGTGGGGGAAAGAAGCAGAAATGGGGGGGACATTTGTGGCGATGTCATTTCTTCCCAAGTAACCATTTTGCATGATGGGGCCTGGCTCTCCTGGAGATGGCCTGTGCATGGGTAGCACTGAATTAATTCTTTGTTTCGCTTTGCTTGTGTGCACACCCTTTGCTTTCCCTATTAAACTGTCTTTTTCTCAGCCCATGATTTCTCCAGCTTTCACCCTTCTGATTCTCTTCCCAAACTCTCTGGTGGGGGAATGAGTGAGTGGCTGTGTGGGGCTTGGCTGCTGCCTGGGGTTAAACCATGGCGTTTCCGCACCGGTGCCTTCTACACAAAGACAGTAAGTACCGTTTGCTGTTTTCAACAGGCCTCAAGTCTGACCTTTGTCTAATACCTCTTCACAAGGTAATTTTTCTTTAAATCATTACCAGATGTGCTGTAATAAAAATACTTTAAGAACATAAATACACAATCTGATTTACCTGAGTGACTGGATGATGCTTCTCAACAATAACTGAACTCATGGGTGGAGCAACTCCCATCACTGCTAAACCCCCAGAAGCTCTGGATTTTTGTCCCATATCAGCTCGGCCTGTGATTCGAGCAGTGATTGTTCTTCCTGCTTTCTGTTGTGCAGATGTTATTACTTTTGGCATGGGCTATAAATAAATTAAATATTAATTAGTAAAATATTCTAAACATAATATTTACCATGCTAGGTGTTTCTACTCAGTTTTATCTGCTACATGCCTAAATGGAACATGTGATGTTGTAGGTAGTCCAGTTACACTACACAGGACTGAATTTGCTCCACCTGGCTGCAACCAGGATTACTCCATTTTTTCTATTTATGTGATAGCATTTCAAGTAAATGTCTTCTGTCCTGAGGGAAGTAAGATTAATTTGACAAAAATTAGTCATGAAGCATGGATAGTTTAGGTTTGCTTGCTGACTGCATGCTTGAGTGACAGCTGAGGGTACTTCCATCATTGTGGAAATCCTTTCTAGCAATGACAGAGCAGGTAATAGAAACGCTCCCATGCATACCAAAACGCATCTTTCTCTGACAGCTGATAGCAGACCGTGCCAAATGTGGAAAAGAAAGGAGGGCAGTTTAGCACGAAGCACAGAAAAGAGAATGAGGGAGAAATTTCAAAGAGCAGGATAATGAGACAAAGCACTTTGCATAACAAAAGGTTATCAAGTCAAACACAGATTGTTCCTGTTGCACTATACCTGAGTGCACTCTTTTTTCCACTTTGCCACACTGCCCTACCTACAAAAAGAATTTAAAACTGCTCCTAGCTTAAATGAGTTTATATAACATAAATAAGCATCTTCAAGCTAGTGTCTTCATGTTGCAGTTCGTCTGGGAGTCCCTGGGGGGGGTCCCCATAGCTGTGAGTTCGCTGCAGGCAGGCAAGGAGACTCCACATGCCTTCTGAGGGTGCTGATTAGATGGGTGTTTATTGGGGGTCCCACCCCCGGCAGCAGCATGGTTACTGAGGGAGAAAGGGGGGAAGGGGGAGAGCCCAGGGAGAAAAGGGCCAAGAGAGGGTCTCTTCTCCCTCGCACAGCTTAACAGGGAGATCCAAGGTGGGAGTGGAATAAGATTCGGGCCAATGGGATTACAGACTCATGATACTTCAGGGGAGGATCACAGACTTGGAATAAACCCTACATTTTCGAGGGATCAGACAGAGCATACCATTTAACTAAAATGTAACATCTTCGTACTGCTATGTAAACTCTGTGGCAGTGTCCTCAACTACATACCTGTGCTGCTTTGAGAAATGCACAAATAACAATACCCAAACTAGTATTTGTTATGATTATGTCCTAAAAGAAGGAAAAAAGTTAACTTTAGCATGTTACCAGTTTTTGTGATGATGTTACACCAGATCCTGATGTTGTGCTAGTGACGATAACTGGAGAATCAGAATCCAGCCTGGTCTCAGGAGTGCTTGCATGGGCCAGGTGGCAACAAAACTGAAATGAAACCAGAGTTTATACAGAATGAGTACTACTTTTGAGAAAATACAGTTTTACTCCTTAGATAGCCAGTTTTTTGACTATCCCAATTACCCTCTTAATTGTGTTGTCTTTGCAGATATTTTACCTCTAGTGTTACTGTTTATTGTCTAATATAAAATTACTTGTCTAAAAATTGTAGAAATGGTGTGAATGATATTTATCACTATTAGAATGAAAAGTCAGGAGAGAGGCATGTACATCATCTCTGCTCTAACCTACTCTCTAGCATGATACTGTTTTACAGTGGCAAAGTTTTCAGGATGACTCCAGGGCAGGTCCAAAACAACCATGCTACTAGATGATCTTGCTAAGC